TTTTTTTGGGGAATAAAAGTGGCATTTGTAAATAAGCACAGGTGTCTTCCACGCACAGAGCAGAATGCTTCCTTTAGGAATTCCTATGCTACAAGAATAAATAAATTAATAAATTATTTTAAAAAGAAATACAATATTTATGGTAATTTTTGGAGCGTGGGTTTTATGGTCGTTCGGAGCCGAGGGGTTTTGCTCCCTCTTTTTTTTCTTGGCTGGTTCTTCAAAAGCAACCCCAAAATTCACCTTTCGAAAGAGTCCTGAAATTCAAATTCCCGATGTTTGGGAGTGGGATGGATGTGGGGAAGGGCACAGGGGTTGTTAAAGGATAAACCAACCCCACAACAATTCCTGGGATGTCAGGAAAGCTCCCAGCCAAAGGCTGGGAAAAATCCCAGCGGGTTAATTGGAGTAATTAATGATTGGGCCGCATCCTAATGAGCCCCGCTGGCCGGGATTTATCGCGTTCCTGGAGGATTTTCTGCCGTGATCCATCGAGTCCTGAGAGATCCCCCTTCCCAGAAGGATTTGGGGAATTGTCCCTGCCCTCCTTGGGGAGGGATCCAGGAGCAGCAGGGAGGGATCCAGGGAGGGATTCAGGGAAGGATCCAGGAGCAGCAGGGAAGGATCGAGGAAAGGATCCAGGGAAGGGATCCAGGGAGGGATCAAGGAATAGCAGCAGGGAAGGATCCAGGGGGATCCAGGGAAGGATACAGGAATAGCTGGAAGGGATCCAGGAACAGCAGGAAAGGATACAGGAACATATCAAGGAGAGATCCAGGAATAGCAGGAAGGGATCCAGGAGAATCAGGGAGGGATCCAGGGACATTGGGGAGGGATCCAGGAGAATCAAGAAGGGATCCAGGAGAATCAGGGAGAGATCCAGGAGAATCAGGGAAGGATCCAGGACCACAAGGGAGGGATCCAGGAATAGCAGGGAGGCATAGAGGAGAATCAGGAAGGGATCCAGCAACATCAGGAAAAGATCCAGGGACACCAGGGAGGGACCCAGGAACATCAAGAAAAAAAATCCAGGAGCATCAGGGAGGGATCCAGGAATATCAGGGAGGGATCCAGGAGAATCCAGAAAGGATCCACCACTATCCATTTCACACACTCGGAGATTCCAGCTCATCCCAAAGCCTTGGAAGATTCATGGACACAGGTTAAAAGGAGAATTCCCCTGGGGGTCAGGGCTTCTCAGGCCAGGCAGAGAAATCTTCATTTAATTAATAAAAAATGAATTAATTATTTATTTTATATATAATTATTCTGGGTCAGGGCTTCTCAGGACAGGCAGAGAAATCTTCATTTAATTAATAAAAAATGAATTAATTATTTATTTTATATATAATTATTCTGTATTTTACATATTATATATAAGATATATACATTATATATATTACATACATTATTTCCATTATATATATTATATATTATATAAAATTTATATTAGGTATATTCTATATTACATATTGTTATATATTGTTATATATTATTATATATAATATATTATGGCAATTATTTTATTAATCATTAATGTATTGTCATATATACATTATATAATATATGTATATTATGTATTATATATACATTATATAATATATATTATATATATTCCATATATATATATTAAAAATATATAGATTCCAATATAGATATTATATATTATATATAACATATATACATTATATAATATATGTATATATAACATTATATATACATTATATAATATATACAATATTCGAATAATTATAATTCTATTAATAATTAATTTAATTATTATTTATTGATAATTAAATTAATTATCTCATTAATTTTCATGAGTTATCTATTCATGATTAATCAATAAATAACAACTGTTGGTTCATCACACAAATACCGAGCAGAGCCCTGGGTTCCGGCAGGCTCACACCGCCCCGGGCCCCTCTCCGTGCGCGGCCCCTTTAAACCCGCACAGCCCACCGCAGGCCGGGGGGGGGATTCCTCCTCCGCGCCGCTGCAGCGCGCAGCCGGCGCGGCCGCGCCACCCCTCCGCGGGCGGTGGTACAGCCCACAGGCGTGGCCAGCGCGGCGGGCGGGCTCGGAGCCCTCAGGGCGGCGCGGCCGCTGCTCCGGGGCCGTCCCGGGGAAACCGGAGCGTCCGGAGCGCGGAGCTTCCAACGTGCGGAGAGTTCCCGGTGTGCGGGAGCTCCCCGGTGTGCGGAGAATTCCCGGTGTGCGGAGCATTCCCAGTGCGCGGCGGGAGTCAGCGCGCGGGGGGGGCGGTGAGGGTTTAAGAGCACGGGCGGCGCTGGCGCTGCCGGGACCTCGTGGCGCAACGGTAGCGCGTCTGACTCCAGATCAGAAGGCTGCGTGTTCGAATCACGTCGGGGTCAAGGCGCCCCTGGGCGCTTCGTTTTTCACCGCGCAGAAAGAAAATCCTAAAAAATAAAAATCCGACATTGAAGGGAATTTTTCAAACTTTGATTCAAGGGGTTGGGGGGTTCGGAATGGGGATCCCGCAGATTTGCGGGTGAGTGCTGTTCTGTGGCTTCTCGTGTTTCATTTTTGCCCCCCTGAAGGAGGGCAGGGTGGGAAGAAATATAAAAAAAATAATAAATTTAAAAATTATATTTATTATAAAACCCACTCTAATCCACAGCTCAAAGCTGCTTCCGCTCCACGAGCTGCAGATGATTTGGGATGTGTTTTGGGATGGTTTTTGAGGTGATTTTTGGGATGGGTTTTGGGATGGTTTTTGGGATAGTTTTGGGGTGGTTTTGGGGTGTTTTTTTTTGATTTTTGGGATGCTTTTCCGGGTGGGTTTTGGGATGGTTTTTGGGATAGTTTTGGGGTGGTTTTGGGGTGGTTTTTTTGATTTTTGGGATGGTTTTGGGATGCTTTTCAGGGTGGGTTTTGGGATGGTTTCTGGGTGGTTTTGGGGATGGTTTCAGTGTGGTTTTGGGGCGGGTTTTGGGGTGGTTTTTTGGGTGGTTTGGGATGGTTTCAGAGTGGTTTTGGGGATGGTTTTGGAGTGGGTTTTGGGGTGGTTTGTGAGGTGATGTTTAGGATGGTGTTTGGAATGGTTTTGGTATGGTTTTCAAAATGATTTTGGGATGATTTTAGGATGGTGTTTGGGATGGTTTTGGGATGGTTTTGGGGTGGTGTTTGGGGTAGTTTTGGGATAGTTTTTGGGGTGGTTTTGGGGATGGTTTCAGTGTGGTTTTGGGGTGGGTTTTGGGGTGGTTTGTGAGGTGATGTTTAGGATGGTGTTTGGAATGGTTTTGGTATGGTTTTCAAAATGATTTTGGGATGATTTTAGGATGGTGTTTGGGATGGTTTTTGGGATGGTTTTGGGGATGGTTTTTGGGATGGTTTTTGGGGTGGTGTTTGGGGTAGTTTTGGGATAGTTTTTGGGGTGGTTTTGGGGATGGTTTCAGTGTGGTTTTGGGGTGGGTTTTGGGGTGGTTTGTGAGGTGATGTTTAGGATGGTGTTTGGAATGGTTTTGGTATATGGTGTTTGGGATGGTTTTTGGGGTGGTGTTTGGGGTAGTTTTGGGATGGTTTTTGGGGTGGTTTTGGAGTGGCTTTTGGGATTTTTGGGGTGGTTTTGGAGTGGCTTTTGGGATTTTTGGGGTGGTTTTGGGATGGTTTTTGGGGTGGTTTTGGGATGATTTTAGGATGGTGTTTGGGGTGGTTTTGGGATGGTTTTTGGGGTGGTTTTGGGGTGGCTTTTGGGATTTTTGGGGTGGTTTTGGGGTGGTTTTCCCCTTTTTCCCCATTTTCCCGTTCCTGCCTGCCTGGAACGCTGTCTCCCCGCGTTTGCCACACGGGCGGGCACAGCTGCTGGATTTCTCCCCACGGCTGAAAATCTGATGGAGAAATCCCAGAGTTCTGGACTCCTGTCTTCACTGATTAAGGGACTCCCTGCACTGAAAAATTCCTTAGTTAACTCCTTAATTAACTGTCAGCTTGAAAAATCTCTGGGAAAAATTAGGGATCTGCCATCCCCTGCTTTTTTCTCCTTGCTGGCACAACAAAATCCCTGTTTTTCCTCTTTAGCTACAAAAAAAAAAAAAATTCAATTTTTCCTCTTTACCCACATTATTTTAAAAATTATTATTAAAATGATATATGTTATTATAGATTGTTATTAAAATTACTGTAATTAAAGTAATTAAATTAATTAATCGAAAATGTCTATTATTATTGTTATTATTATTATTATTATTTCAATTTTTAAAAACATCCTCGTGGGATGTGGGAGCAGAATTTTGGGAACTGGCCCCAAAATCTTCAAAATCCTGCTCCTCCAAACTACTTGTGGGATGCAGGATCAGAATTTTGGGAATTGGCCCCAAAATCTCCTAAATCCTGCTCCTCCAAGCTCCTTGTGGGATGTGGGAGCAGAATTTTGGGAATCGGCTGCAAAGGCTCCAACACCCTGCTCCTGCAAGTTCTTTGTGGGATTCAAGAGCAGAATTTTGGGAATCAGCTCCAGAGGCTCCACCATCCTGCTCCTCTGAGCTCCTTGTGGGATGTGGGAGGAAAATTTTGGGAATTGGCCCCAAAGGCTCCCACATGCCTTTCCTCCAAGCTCCTTGTGGGAGAAGAATTTTGGGAATCTGCTCCAAGGGCTCCAACATCCCGTTCCTCTGAGCTCCTTGTGGGGTGCAGGAGCAGAATTTTGGGAATTGGCTCCAGCATCCTGCTCCTCCGAGCTTGTGGGATGCAGGGAAAGAAATTTTGGGAGTCAGCTCCAAAGGCTCCAATATCCTGCTCCTCCGAGCTCCCTGTGGGATGCAGCTCCGGCTTTCCCGATTTTTGCCAAAATCCCCCGGGAATTCTGCCGGTGCCGCTTTAGGGCGGGGAGCGGGGCGAGCGCCGCCGTTCCAGAACATCCTGTGCGAGCGTGGGGAGCCATAAAAGGCTCAGGGATGGATCGGGAACGCCGGGAATTCGCACGCACAGCCCCGAGGAGGAGCCCAGCTGGGGAAACCCTCCCCGCCCTGAGTGTCCTACATCTTCCAGAGGGGGAACAGCAGCGCCGCTGGATTTACGCGGATTTATTTTGTTTTATTTTTTTTTCCCCCTCTTCCCACGCAGCAATTCCCAACCCCGGCTGCTCCCGGCAGCCCGGCAGGGAGTGGGAGGAAGGGGATGCTCGGAGGATTTGGGAAAATCCGGAGCATTTCCAGCCATGCTCCACCGGAGCTGTGAGTATTCCCGAGAAATCCCGGGAAAGGAAGGAAGGAGGGAGGGAGGGAGGGAATTCCTCTCTGGAGGTCACTGGGGGGATGCTTTGGGACCCCGTGTCCTCTCAGGCTTTTTAGGAACAGCCACAAACAAAGCTGGGAGTTTGTGTTCCCCTTCCAAAAATTGGGTGGGGAAAGATGATTTTTTTCCCCCCCTTACTTTTTGTGGAAAACGATTGGGTTTTTCCCATACTTTTTTCCCCCCAAAATTCCATATTTTCAGCTTTTCTCCTCCCAGCATCCCCAATCCCATTTCCCAGCATTTCTCCCAGACCAGGCCTGGCAGGGATGGGGTTGCTGTGACCTCTCCCACTGTGATCCGGCCTGGGGCTCTTCCCATTCCCTCTGCAGCTGAAATGAAGAGGAAAAGGAGCTCTGGAAACACAACCTGAGAGGCTGCAGGGCTTGGGGAAGCCTTTCTGTGTTGGACTCGTGCAGGAGAGCAGCTGCTGGGACAGAGGGAGCTTTTGGGAATGAGGAGGGGGATCCAGGGTCCTGGTGGGAGCTGGGTGGGGGAAGGGAGACCCTTTGCTCTTGCAGGTGGGTCCTTGCTCTTAAATTAAATTAAATTAAATTATTTAAATTAAATTAAAACTCCTGACCTCAACAGTGACATGAGCAAAGCTCACCTTGCTCTGCTGATTTTTCGGCCCACTCAGGATTTTAAAAAAAGGCCGATTTGGGCTCTTTCAATAAACGGAGCAGCTTTTGTCCCTGTCCCTGAGCCGTGACACCCCTGACGTGCTCCTGCTGGGGAATATTTCCTTCCACAACCCCTCTCCCTCCCATCAGGAGGTCGCAGCTGGCAGGAGGAGGCTGGAGAGGACCCCGAGGGGCCGGGCTGGGGGCCGGGGTGAAGCTGGGGGAGGCCAGGCCGGCCCCAGCCCCTCCTGCATCCCAAAGGATGCTCGGGATCGGGGGGGTACCAAACGAGCTGCTCGGGGCGCTGCTCTGCTCGGCACAACGAAATCCCTTCTAATCCCAAAGGTTTTCGCTCTTTTTGCCGGTTGTTTTCCAGGCAGAGGCGGGGAACCGGTGAGGTTTTGTTGTTGTTGTTGTGATTTTCCGGCTGGTTGTTACTATGGCGAGGGAGCCGAGGCGGAGGTCAGGAATCCCCGGCTGACAATTCCAAGCCTGCTCCTTTCATTCCCAGCTGCCGGGGTTGGAGCAAAGGCACCAGAACCCGGCTGTTCCCAGCCCCCTTTCCCTCGGGACACGGGGGAGAGGAAGAACCTTTTTCCCGAAGTTTCCCCGGTGGATTTCTCTGCCCGCTGAGTGGGGGCTGGGTGTGTTTGTCCCGCTCCTGGTGGCACGGGGGCGGTGGCAGGTGGGAATTTTGGGGTTCTGAGGGTCATCCTGGCTCTGTCCCGTTCCCACATGGGAGGAGATTTGAGTTCCAGCCTTTGGAATTTCGACCCTGGAGCAGCAAAACTTCCAAATCCTGGAGAGAAAAGAGATGGGAAGGAAAAGGAGCTGCTCTGACATCTCCCCCCGTTCATCCCATGGATCCCTTGGAGATTTGAGTTCCAGCCTTTGGAATTTCGACCCTGGAGCAGCAAACTTCCAAATCCTGGAGAGAAGAGAGATGGGAAGGAGCTGCTCTGACATCTCCCCCCCGTTCATCCCATGGATCCCTTGGAATCCCGCCTGCCTGGCTCTGATAAATCCCAAAAAATTGCAGATCCATAAAAGCCACGAATCCAGGGGCTCTCCAAAATCAGGGATGGGTTTTCCTTGGAGGGACTATCCAGGGAGAGGTCCCGCTGTCCCCTGGAGCCCTGATCCCTCTCCGGGGGTGCCGCGGGGCTGCCCCTGCCCATCCACGCTCCAAATCCACTTGGAAAATACTCTGGAGGGTTTCTTAAACCAAGGAATTTCATCCTTTCCATCCTTAAACCAAGGAATTTCATCCTTTCCATCCTTAAACCAAGGAATTTCATCCTTTCCATCCTTAAACCAAGGAATTTCATCCTTTCCATCCTTAAACCAAGGAATTTCATCCTTTCCACGCTCCAAATCCACTTGGAAAATACTCTGGAGGGTTTCTTAAACCAAGGAATTTCATCCTTTCCATCCTTAAACCAAGGAATTTCATCCTTTCCATCCTTAAACCAAGGAATTTCATCCTGCAGAGATAAGGAGCGGAGAGGGCTGGGCCCCAGCTCCGCCGGGGAAAAAGCAATTTCCCTTCCTTTGGATTTCCAATGTCAATCAGTCTGGGAGGATGAAGCGATAATTCCCCGGGCCTGGGAGGGGAATGTGGCCGCAGGAAGCTCTGCCAGCTCCCAGCACTGCGCTGGTGTCGCTTCCCGGTGAAATCCAGGTGATTTTTGGAGAGCCGGAGGCGAAGGCATGGAATTCAGGAATTCAGCGTGTGAGCCTGACCTTGATTTCCTTTAAATAGCACGGCAGGGAAGAGGAGCAGAATCTTTGTGTGCCAAGGCAGAGGAATTCAGGCAGGGCTTTGCATTCCAGCAGAATTCCCGGCTCTTTGCTCCTTTATTCCCATGGAAGACCTGCCCGGAGAAATCCTCATCCCTCTCCAAGCGCCCTCTGCGTGCTGGGATGTCGAAAAGGAATTTTTAGGCCATTTTAGGCAATTATTCCTGAGCTTTGGACGGAGAAATTGCCTGGCCCCAGCCAGGTTCTGCTGCTGGCAGGCACTGGAGTGGCGCTGGTTGTGTCTCATCCCAGCACTTTGGATTTGAAGGAACAGAGGTCAGGAATGCCTGGACGCAAATCCATCGAGCTCCTGGAAAGAGGAGCTGGCTCTGCTTTGCTAATGAACCAACCCAGGCTGAATTTTTCCATGAAAATTCACCTGGAAAGGAAATCAATCATGCGAGGGAGCAGAACCCCGGAGCTGCCAGGGCACAAATCCCGGGGCTGCTCCGAGCTGCTGCTCGCTCCTTTTTCCTTGGATTCTGGGAGGCTGGCAAGCGTGGCTCCATGTGCTGCTGCTGCTTTTTATCGTGCCTTTGTGTTCCTTTGTCTGCGGCCCCCCTGGAGCCGGGAATTTCCTGGAATTGCCCCGGGAATTGCGGATGGGCCCACGGCAGGTCCTGCTGCTGGAGGCTGGCAGCCCAAGCAGGATTTCTCAGCTTATTTATGAATTCCTCATGCCATAAATGATGTTTTGTGCGCTCCTGAACATTTATGTGGGAAGATAAATAACAATAAAAACAAACAGCTCTGCTCGGACTAGTCGGATTTTGTGGAAGCTCGGAATTGGGTGGGAAGGATGGGAAGGGATTTCCCTCCCAGAGTTGCTTTTGTCCCTCTCCCTTCGCCCTCTCTCCGTCCTCCCGCGCTAATTAAGCTCATCTGCATCGCGCTTAATGAAGGAGAGAGGAGATGGGGCAAAGACCGCGCGTTCCCAGCCCTCTGCTGGGATTGGAGCCGGGGGTTCACGTTCCTCAGGGATGTGAGGAAGGTCAGGAGGAGGAATCCGGTTGCTCAGAGAAGGACAAGTTCCCCAGCCGGGAGGAAAACAGGCGTGGAAGGAGCAGAGGCTGGTCTGAAGTCACCTGGGGGCGGGGAAGCTCGGGAAGCAGCAGAACGAACTGGCTCCAACCTTCTCGCCTGGTTTTTTTTTTTTTGGTTTTTTTGTTTTCCCACCTCTTTTTGTTTTGTTTTATTTTTAGGCTCGCTCTCTGCATGAGCTGCTGAGGCGGCTCTGGAGCCGCAGGATTGATGGAGAGGCGCTGAAAGGTGGCGGTGCTGCGCGGGGGGGTGGCGGTGACACAGGGGACAGGCGACAGTGACAGGGCTGCTCGGGGGGTGGGGGTGGCACCGGGGACAGGCGACAGTGGCGCTCTGGGGGTGACACAGGGGACAGGAGGCAGTGACAGGGCTGCTCCGGGGGTGGGGGTGGCACAGGGGACAGATGGGAGTGGCAGGGGTGCTCTGGGGGTGACACAGGGGACAGGTGGCAGTGGGAGGGCAGCTCTGGTCCTGCTCTGCTCCTGCCAGGGTGGGGTTTGCACTCTGGGATTTTCCCTCAGTTCAGGAGGAACATTTCGGGGCTGGAGCGAGTCCAGGGAAGGGAATGGAGATGGGGAAGGGTTTGGAGAGTCCTGAGGGAGCTGGGAAGGGTTTGGAGAGTCCTGAGGGAGCTGGGAAGGGTTTGGAGAGTCCTGAGGGAGCTGGGAAGGGTTTGGAGAGTCCTGAGGGAGCTGGGAAGGGTTTGGAGAGTCCTGAGGGAGCTGGGAAGGGTTTGGAGAGTCCTGAGGGAGCTGGGAAGGGTTTGGAGAGTCCTGAGGGAGCTGGGAAGGGTTTGGAGAGTCCTGAGGGAGCTGGGAAGGGTTTGGAGAGTCCTGAGGGAGCTGGGAAGGGGCTCAGCCTGGAGCAAAGGAGGCTCAGGGGGAATTTGTGGCTCTGCACAACTCCCTGCCAGGAGGGCACAGCCGGGGGGGATTTGGGATCTCATCCCAGGGAACAGGGACAGGAGGAGAGGGAACTGCCTCAGGCTGGGCTGGGGAGGCTCAGGTTGGACATCAGCAGGAATTCCTCCTGGAAAGGGCTGGAAGGGGCTGCCCAGGGGGGTTTGGAGGTGTCCAAGGAATTCCTGGACGTGGCACTGAGTGCTCAGCTCAGCGACTGGGCACAGCTTGGCAGATCCTGGAGAACTTCTCCACCCTCACTGATTCCAGAACTCTCTTTTCCAGCACCAACCCCTTCCCGGCGGCCGCCATGGAGCTGCCCAGCACCAAAGACTTCCAGTGGAAGTCTCTGGCGCCGCTGCCCAGCCGCAGGGTGTACTCCACGCTGGTGGAGGCGGGCGGGCAGGTCTTCGCCGTGGGCGGCTGCGACGACAACGGCGTCCCCGTGGCCTCCTTCGAGGCCTACTCGCCCGAGGCCGACCAGTGGGCATCGCTGCCCGCCATGCCCACGGCCAGGGCCGGCGTGGCCGTCACCGTGCTGGGCAAGAGGATCATGGTGATCGGCGGCGTGGGCGCCGACCAGCTGCCGCTGAAGGTGGTGGAGATGTACAACACGGACGAGGGGCGCTGGAGGAAGCGCAGCTCGCTCCGCGAGGCCGCCATGGGCATCTCGGTGGCGGCCAAAGGCAAGTGGGTGTTTGTGTCTGTCTCTCTGGGAGCCTCTCAGGAACCACGGGCAGCCCCGGGCTGGCAGACAGCGGGGGGACACTCTGGTGCCCCGACAGTGACAGCGGGGGGACACTCTCTGGTGCCCCGACAGTGACAGCAGGGGACACTCTCTGGTGCCCCGATGGCAGGGGACACTCTCTGGTGCCCCGACAGTGACAGCAGGGGGACACTCTCTGGTGCCCTGACAGTGACAGCAGGGGACACTCTCTGGTGCCCTGACAGTGACAGCAAGGGACACTCTCTGGTGCCCTGATGGCAGGGGACACTCTCTGGTGCCCCGAGGGAACCGATGGCAGCTGGGCTAGTCGCCTTTGCCTCCAAAGAGACACTGGAGACGTCGGCGGAGGACAGAAGGTGACTCTCAGCAGGGGACAGCCCAAGGTTTATTCGGAGCCCCACGCCTCAGTGGGCGCGTGCTCAGAGTAAAACAAAAGGAATCTCAAGGTTACGTTTAAAGCGGGGGAGGAAACCGAAGGTAGATATGTTTGCTGAGCAATAAAGGCCCGGAAGGGATGAAACCTTAGGGAATGGACATTTGGGATAGAGCATAAAATAACATTTAGGGGCTGAGCCCTGGCCTCGGACTAATCACTCGACGACTTGGACTGAAAGTTCTAGACAGAGGGGATGGGATGGTGAGTGACTGACAGAGAGCCAGGGCGGGGATTTGGGGATGATCTCAACCCAGGAGAATGGTTACACAGGTAGAGGGAGGGGGTACAAAAAGGAGTAAACCATTTGGAGAAAATAAGGGGATACAGAACCAAAACTATTACAAAGTATTACCAAATATAAAAGCTTGCTACAACGAGTGTTGGGGAAGATGGGGAGTTTGGAGAGGAAGTTTCACAGCTGGAGGGTGTCACCCTGATTTTTTAAGGTTTTCTAAGCCTTCTGATGTTTACATTCTTGTAGCAAACTCTCCCACGCACATTCTGTAAACAATTAATTGTTTTGCCTTCTTTTATGGAGGAGGAGAAATTTGACGGGCTGCTGGTTTGTCCAGTGCCATTGGAGAGGTGGCACTGTCACCCTCCAATCCACTGCCACCTTTGGAAATCTAGAAATGTTGGAGTCAGAAAATAAACTCCCCCTTTTTACCTTGAGAAGAGCAGCGTGCCCTATAGCGACATCGGGGAGGTCCCTGAATGTGGAACCTGAGAGCAGGAGAAGCAAACGAGACAGGAATTCTTTTCTTTTCTCTGAGGCCTCTCCCTCTGCCTTTCACCTTCCCAGGAGAGAAACCCAGGGTGAAGGGATCATGTTCAAAGAATGTGAATGCCACAGGAGGGACCTGCCAGGGCCGTGGCGTTGGGGATCTGGTTGATAAATTGATGATTAAAGGTTGGGCTTGGCGAGCTTGGAGGTTTTTCCCAGCTTTGAGTCTGTGCTTGGGCACAAAATCCCGCTGGACGGCAGGCCCAGGGCCGTGGCGCTGGGGATTTGGGATCTGGTTGATAATTTGGTGATTAAAGGTTGGGCCTGATGAGCTTGGAGGTTTTTCCTGGCTTTGATTCTGTGCTTGGGCGCAAAATCTCTCCAGGCTTGCTTTGTTCATCTCCAAAACATCTCCTGTGCTTCCAGGAGTCTCCAAAACATATTCTGTGCTTCCAGGAGTCTCCAAAACACCTTCTGTGCTTCCAGGAGTTTCCAAAACACCTTCTGTGCTTCCAGGAGTCTCCAAAACATCTCCTGTGCTTCCAGGAGTTTCCAAAACACCTTCTGTGCTTCCAGGAGTCTCTAAAATATATTAAGTGCTTCTAGGAGTCTCCAAAACACCTTCTGTGCTTCCAGGAGTCTCCAAAACGTCTCCTGTGCTTCCAGGAGTTTGGCCTCGTGCATTTGTCACCTCCCACCCTCCTGAGGCGCCCTGCAGGAGGCTGGAAGCACAGACAGAGCCACCCCCGGGTTTGTCACCAGCCCTGGTGGCTCTGCTGCTCCCTGGGGGTGTTTTGGACAGCTTCAAGCTCCAGGGGCTCAGATCCAAATTTTTCATGGCTTTACAGCAAGTTCTGGTCCTTGAGTGGATGTTTTTTGCAAGGGGGGGATGGATTTTTTTTTTTTTAATTTTTTTTTTTTTTTTTGCAGGGCAGGGATATTTCTGGTGTTTTTCCATTTTTTCTATAGCAGTTCTGTGTGGGTTTTTTTTGAGGGGGTGATGGATTTCTGGTGCTTTCCTGTAATAATTTCAAGGAATTTTTGGGGGCTTTTTGCCCCATCCAGATTACAGGGTGTACACAGCAGGGGAGGGGGATTTCTGGTGTTTTCCCATAGAAGTTTTGTGGGATTTTTTTTTTGCAGGGGTGGGGGGGGGGAAGATGGATATCTGGTGTTTTCCTACAATAATTTCATGGTATTTCTTGGGGGTTTTGCCCCATCCAGATTACAGGGTGTATGTAGCAGGGGGGGTGGATTTCTGGTGCTTCCCTACGATAATTTAATGGGATTTTTTGGGGTTTTGGCCCCATCCAGATTACACGGTGTATGTAGCAGAGGGGTTGGATTTCTGGTGCTTCCCTACGATAATTTAATGGGATTTTTTGGGGTTTTGGCCCCATCCAGATTACACGGTGTATGTAGCAGAGGGGTTGGATTTCTGGTGCTTCCCTACAATAATTTAATGGGATTTTTTGAGGTTTTGGCCCCATCCAGATTACACGGTGTATGTAGCAGGAGGGTTGGATTTTTGGTGTTTTCCTACAACAATTTAATGGTATTTTTTGGGGTTTTGGCCCCATCCAGATTACAGGGTGTACAGAGCAGGGGAGGGGGATTTCTGGTGCTTCCCTACAACAATTTCATGGGATTTTTTTGGGTTTTGGCCCCATCCAGATTACAGGGTGTATGTAGCAGGGGGGTTGGATTTTTGGTGCTTTCCTACAATAATTTCATGGGATTTTTTGGGGTTTTGGCCCCATCCAGATTATAGGGTGTACAGAGAAGGGGGGTTGGATTTCTGCTGCTTCCCTACAATAATTTAATGGGATTTTTTTGGGTTTTGGCCCCATCCAGATTACAGGGTGTACGCAGCGGGCGGGATGGGCTCGGACCTGCGGCCCCACAACTTCCTGCAGCACTATGACGTGCTCAAGGACATCTGGGTGTCCCTGGCTGCCATGCCCACCCCCCGCTACGCGGCCACGTCCATCCTGAGGGGCACCAAGATCTACGTGCTGGGTGAGGACCGGCCCTGCTGCCTCCTCTCTTCTTTCTCCTTCCTCCTCCATCCTTTCTCCTTCCTTTTCCTTTTCCTTTTCCTTTTCCTTTTCCTTTTCCTTTTCCTTTTCCTTTTCCTTTTCCTTTCTTTTTCCTCCTTCTCCTTCATTTTTGTTCTTTTCTCTTCCTTCTCCTTCACTTTTATTTTCTTTTGCTTCCTTTCTCTTCCTTCTCCTCTTTCTCCTCTTCCTCCTCTTCCCCCTTCTCCTCTTCCTCCATGCCTGACAGATGGGATCACTGGGATCCCTGGCACTGGAATAATGGGAATCCCTGGCACTGGGATAATTTGGATCCCTGGCACTGGGATAACTGGGATTCCTGACCCTGAGATAACTCAGATCCAAACACTGGGATAACTGGGCACCCTGGCACTGGGATAACTGGGATTCCTGGCACTGGGATAATTGGAATCCCTGGCACTGGGATAACTGGGATTCCTGGCATTGTGATAATTGGGATCCCTGGCACTGGGATAACTGGGATTCCTGGCACTGGGATAACTGGGATTCCTGGCACTGGCATAACTGGGATTCCTGGAATTATGATAATTGGGATCCCTGGCACTGGGATAACTGGGATGCCTGGCACTGGGATAACTCAGATCCAAACACTGGGATAACTGGGCTCCCTGGCACTGGGATAACTGGGATCTCTGGCCCTGGGATGGATCCCTGGCCCTGGGATGGATCCCTGGCCCTGGCAGCAGCAGCTGCTCCATCTCCCCTGCTCTCAGGATCTCAGGCCAGGGCTCACTGGATCCTCTCATGGAATTCCTCTGCTCTTCCCAAGCCTGATCCCAGCTCTGCTCTGGGTTTGTCTGGATCAAACCGGCTCATTTCAAACCCCTCCCTGTGCCTGCACCATGGGTTGGGGGCAGAGATTGGAAAATTCAGATTTTTCCTGTCATGAGACAGAGAAGTGAAAAATCCCCAGTTTGACTCAGGGGCTGGAGTGATGCCTTAGGTTTTTAGTTTTTCTATTTTTCAGATTCTATTCTACTTTGGTGTGCAAATCTAAGCTTCCTATTATGGGATGGTGAGCTCTCTGCACAGAGCAGAGAGACAAAACAATTCCTTCTCTAGCTGGGACCAAGGACCAAGGATCCAAAATCTCAGCCCAAGAGCACAAACAACGTGGGCTGAAGAGAGAAAAACAAGGATGGGACTGCATGGGCTGGAGCTGGAATTGGACAATTAACTCCAATATGCAAATGGAGCAGAACTTATAAAATGAGAGACCCTTTGACCAGCTGTCCATTTCGTGACCATTTTGGTTCATCTTGGGTTCGTTTTGTGACCATTTTGGGTGGTGCTGCCCAAGGTGGATCCATTGAAACCCTTTAATAAATCCCTGATTTGTTCTTTAGCTCTGTCTGGTCTCTGCTCTAGCTCAGCCTTCCCAAGGCCTCAGGAGAGCTGAGGCTGCTCCATCCCTGAGCTGGAATTCCCTCTCCTTTCCAATTTCTTCTTCTTGTCCATTCCCTCTCTTTTCCATTCCCTCTCTTTTTCCATTCCCTCTCCAACTTGGGTTCGTTTTGTGACCATTTTGGGTGGTGCTGCCCAAGGTGGATCCATTGAAACCCTTTAATAAATCCCTGATTTGTTCTTTAGCTCTGTCTGGTCTCTGCTCTAGCTCAGCCTTCCCAAGGCCTCAGGAGAGCTGAGGCTGCTCCATCCCTGAGCTGGAATTCCCTCTCCTTTCCAATTTCTTCTTCTTGTCCATTCCCTCTCTTTTCCATTCCCTCTCTTTTTCCATTCCCTCTCCAATTCCCTCTCCTTTCCCATTCCCTCTCCTTTCCAATTCCCTCTCCTTTCCATTCCCTCTCTTTCCCAGGAGGAAGGCAATCCAAGTACGCCGTCAACGCCTTCGAGGTCTTCGACACGGACACGCGCTCCTGGACCAAGTTCCCCAACATTCCCACCAAAAGAGCCTTCTCCAGCTTCGTGCCCACCGAGGAGAAGCTCTTCAGCCTCGGGGGGCTGCGCCAGGGCCGGCTCTACCGGCAGCCCAAGTTCATGAGGACCGTGGACGTGTTCGACCTGGAGCAAGGTCGGGGACCCCGAGGGGCCTGGGGACACGGGGATGGGTTTGGGGACACAGGGATGGGTTTGGGGACACGGGGATGGGTTTGGGAACACAGGGATGGGTTTGTGGACACAGGGATGGGTCTGGGGACATGGGGATGGGTTTGGGGACACAGGGATGGGTTTGGGGACACGGGGATGGGTCTGGGGACACGGGGATGGGTTTGGGGACACAGGCATGGGTTTGGGGACACGGGGACGGGTTTGGGGATGGGTTTGGGGACACGGGGATGGGTTTGGGGACATGGGAATGGGTTTGGGGACAGGTTTGGGGACACAGGGATGGGTTTGAGGACATGGGGATGGGTTTGGGGACACGGGGATGGGTTTGGGGACACAGGGATGGGTTTGGGGACACGGGGATGGGTTTGGGGACTGGTTTGGGGAAACAGGGATGGGTTTGGGGACACACAGAGTTGGGTTTGGAGACACAGGGCTGGGTTTGGGGTTTGGGGGTGTCACAGAGCTGAGTTTGGGGACAGACCTGGGCTTGGGGACACAGGGATGGGTTTGAGGTTTGGGACACAGGGCTGGGTTTGGGGTTTGGGGCACACAGGGCTGGGTTTGGGGTTTGGGGCACACAGGGCTGGGTTTGGGGTTTGGGGCACAGGGCTGGGTTTGGGGCTCTGCCATCCTTGCAGAGCACAGAGCTCCCACCTGCTGCTGCCTTGAGCTCAGCTTAGAGGACAATTTCCAGTCAGGATTACCGAGTGGAACGGGAAAACCTCACTCCTGAGTCAGCTGGATCCAACAGTGGGATCACAGGGGACAAACCCAACAATTCCATGGGGTTTATCACCCCAAGGTGCAGCAGCCAAACTGCCCTTCCACGAGCCAGGGGCTCAGAGAGGCAGATGCTCCCCCAGGAGTGGGTGATCCCACAAAAGCCAGCGTGTCCTGTCCTTCCAGGGGGCTGGATGAAGACGGAGCGCTCCTGCTACCTGAAGAAAAGGCGAGCAGACTTCGTGGCCGGATACCTGAGAGGCAGAGTTGTCGTGGCTGGGGGCCTGGGTGAGGCTCTGGGACTGTGGGAACCCTTTAAAAAGGTGCTGGAATTGTTGTCATCCCAAAAAAAAGGAGAAACCGCAGGGCTGGCTGGTGGGAGGGGGCAGGGAAAACAAACCCCATGAGGGGACGGGTACAGAGCAGCCAAGAGAAGCTCGATGGTGCTTCCCAGATCATCCAGCGCCTCCTTTTGTGCTTCCAGGGAATCAGCCGACAGTGCTGGAGTCGGCAGAGGCTTTCCACCCCGAGAAGAACAAGTGGGAGAGCCTGCCCCCCATGCCCACCCCGCGCTGCGCCTGCTCCAGCATCGCGCTGCGGGACTGCCTGCTGGCCGTGGGGGGCGTCAGCCAGGGGCTCAGCACGGCCGTGGAGGCCCTGTGCCTCTCTGACTCCTGAATCCCACCGGGAACGCGGCCCTGTGCCTCTCTGACTCCTGAATCCCACCGGGAACGGGGCCCTGTGCCTCTCTGACTCCTGAATCCCACCGGGAATGGGGCCCTGTGCCTCTCTGACTCCTGAATCCCACTGGGAACGGGGCCCTGTGCCTCTCTGATTGCTGAGAATCCCACCGGGAACGGGGCCCTGTGCCCCTCTGACTCCTGAATCCCACCGGGAACGGGGCCCTGTGCCCCTCTCTGACTCCTGAATCCCACCGGGAACGGGGCCCTGTGCCTCTCTGACTCCTGAATCCCACCGGGAATGGGGCCCTGTGTCTCTCTGACTCCTGACTGGAATACTTCTGGAGGAGAATCTCACCTTGGACATTGCCCTGTGCCTCTCTGACTCCTGATCTGAGCCCACCTGAGGGGACATCCCACCTTGGACAGGGCCCTGTGCCTCTCTGATTCCTGATTGGAACTCCCTGGAGGAGAATCCCACCTGGAACAAGGCCCTGCCCCTGCTGTCCCCAGCAGTGGCAGTGGGGACAGTGCTGGCATCTCCCAGGACTGGGACAGCACCATCCAGCTGCTGCAGGGGCCTGGCTGCTCCTCCAGAAACACATCCAGGGATTCTGGTGCCTCCCTTCCTGGCACTGCTGTCCATGAGGAACCCCCACACTGGCCAGGGGTCCCCTCCTGTCACTGTCACAGCTCCATGGGGACACCCCCCAGCCAGGGGAACTGCTCCCCACAGCTCCATAGGGAAGGAACTGCTCTCCAGATCTCCGTGGGGACAGCCAGGGAAACTGCTCCTCACATCTCCATGGGGGAGGAACTGCTCCCTGCAGCTCCATGGAGACATCAGCGGGGGGAATTGCTCCCCACAGCTCCATAGGGAAGGAACTGCTCTCCAGATCTCCGTGGGGACACCCAGCTTCAGGCACTGCTCCCCACATCTCCAAGGGTCCCCGGCCGGGCTGTCCCAGCTGTGTCGCCTCTCCATCTGGGGCCGCTCCCGTCACCGCGGAGCTCTGAGGGCACTGTGTGGAGCTCCGAGAACACCGTGCAGAGCTCCGGGAACACCATGTGGAGCTCCAGAAGCACCATTCAGAGCTCCGAGAACACAGTGTGGAGCACTGGGAACACCATGCGGAGCTCCGAGAACACCGTTCAGAGCTCCGAGGGCACGGTGCGGAGCTCCAGGTGAGAACACCGTGCAGAGCTCGGGGAACACTGCGCGGAGCTCCAGGAACACCATGCGGAGCTCCGGGAACACCATTTGGAGCTCTGAGGCCACTGTTCGGAGCTCCAAGGGCGCCGTTCAGAGCTCCGAGAACACAGTGTGGAGCACTGGGAACACCATGCGGAGCTCCGAGAACACCGTTCAGAGCTCCGAGGGCACGGTGCGGAGCTCCAGGAACACCATGTGGAGCTCCGAGAACACCATGCGGAGCTTCAGAAGCACCATTCAGAGCTCCAAGAACACAGTGTGGAGCTCCGGGAACACCATGCGGAGCTCCGAGAACACCGTTCGGAGCTCCGGGGACACGGCGGGGACGGAGGGAGCTGCGGTCGGGATTCTCCTCCCTTCATTCCAGGCGGGATCCCCCGATGCTGAGCGCTGAGGAAAGGCAGGAGGGGAACAGGAGGGGAATGAAGGGAAAGAGGAGCTTTGCCCTCCAGCCCAATCTCCCTGTGAGCCGCCCCTGCACCGAGCCCGGCTGTTAATGAGGAATTTTCTTTGTCCTTAAGGAACCTTTCCCAGCTCTTTTTCTCCCGATTCCCGGGCCCTGCTCAGCGCTCGGTGCTTTGTTCAGCAGGAGCAGGGGGAGGAGGGATCCTTTGTGGAGCCTGATCCTTCCCTTCCTGCCTCCAGAAATCCTGGACATAGCAGGGCCCTGGGAAAGAACCCGCTGGAGGATTTATGGAGGAGGTGACAGCGACTGGGGGTGACAGAATCACAGCTGGGAGAGTCCCGAGCTTTCAGAGAGGGGGACAGGAGCAGCTCTGAGCCCCCGAGGAGGGAAAAGCAGCTCCAGGTCTCTGCCTTTGGATGAACTCCAAGCTTCCATCACCCCACAGGATCATCCCTGGGACATCCCTGGAGCTGCCGAGTGCCAGCCCAGGGTGCCGCTGGCTCGGGGGGGATTTTCCTCACCCCCGGAGGGTGAGGGCAGCATTCACCTCCCTCCCCTGACCCTTTCCAGGCTGCGCCTCACCCCTGCCCTTCCCTGGGAAGCTCCTGCTGGGAAATGGGATCCTGCAGGACACAACCTCCCTGGGAAATGGGATCCTGCAGGACACAACCTCCCTGGTTTTGGCACAGCAGGGCTGTGTCCACCCTCCGGGTGGCGGAGATGTGACCTGAGCCCAGTTCGGGTGGGTCGGGCGCTCCTGGCTGTGCCTGCCGGGCGGGTTTGAGGATTTCAGCGGGTTTGGGTGGTTTGGTTTGTGCTGAGCCGCGCTGGGTCTCCTCCCAGAGCTGTGAACAGCAGATGGCATCCCTGGGCTGAGCTGCGGCTGCAGCAGCACCCTCGGCAGCCCTCCCGCTGTCCTGGGCTGCCCTGGCCGGGTGGTGCTGGGCCAGGGCGGCTCTAAAATCCCATTTCGGGTGCTGCAAGATCCAACGAAAAACTTGGGTGCTGCGCGCCTCCCGCAGTATTTTATTCCTGTAGAAAGACATCCCTGAGGAGCCCAAACACGTGCCAGGAGCTGGGACAGAGCTGGATTTGGGTCCAAAGAGTCCCTGATGCCGCTGCCCAGCGCCAGCCCGGGAAATGCCTCCAGGGCTGGGTCCCGCTGCAGCTCCCCGAGCTCTGCAGCGAATCCCTTGGGATGAGAGGGCCCCAGAGCTCCTTTCCCTGGAGAAATGTTGGGTTTGTCACCAGCCAGGCCCTCCTGGGTCTGGGGGGCTGCAGGAAGCCCTGGGCCCGTCCCTCTGCCCCCGGCAGCCCCCGGGACCCCGCGCCCTCCGTGCCCGCTGCGCTCCCTGCTCGCCTTTATCCCAACCCGGCCGAGCCTTTGGAGTTTTCCAGCCACAAAAAAATCCCGGAGGGGCCCCGGCCGTGTCCTCGGCTGAACTCCCCACGCTCGCAGTTTGCTGAGAGGCTTTTCAGCCCCGGTGGCTGCTCCGGCACGGAGGCTGAGGGCTGAGCTGGCCCTGCTGCCAAAAATCGTCATTTATCGTCCCCGAGCAGACTTCGTCTGCACAAACAGGAAACTTCCTCAAGGAACAGCCTCCAAAGGATCCGGTGGTGGAGCAGAAATGATTCCTGCACCTCGCCATGGGCCCAGGATATGCGGCTGGGCTGGCCCTTGCTGTTGGGGGACAATATTTTTTGGGGGTCAGCGCTGCTTTTTGGGGTCAGCTCTGCCCTTTGTGGCGATAGCTCCCAAAAGGAGCCCAGTGTGGCGTTGTGTGAGGGCTGCTCCAGCTCCAGCTGGGAATTGCGCTCTGGAGAGCTGGGGATTGAGCTCTGGGAAGCATCTCTGTCACTGCCATCCTCGTCCCTGGCATGTCCCCAACCCTGTGGGGCCACCAGCAGCGGAGTCACCCCCGGCTGCTCCCGTTCCCGGGGAATCTGCCGGTGCTGGAGCGGACGTGGAGTCACCTTCCTGAGACACAGACGCTTCCTGCTCGCAAAATAAAAGCTCCAGATTTTTTTGTGGGTTTTTCTGGGATTTTTGGGGGGAATTTTTCTTATTTTTCCTCTAAATGCCTCGGAGTTTCTGCAGCCCCACGTGCTGTGACACCCCCAGTGCCCGGGAGGGTGACAGGGACACCTGGGGGGTGGATTTGTGATAAAGGGAGCCTTGGAGGGGTGGTTTAATGGAAAAATATGGATGGATGGATGGAATCCATGGATGGATGGAATCCATGGATGGATGGATGGATGGATCCATGGATGGATGGATGGATAGATGGATGGATGATGGATGGATGGATGGATGGATGGATGGATGGATGGATGGATGATGAATGATGGATGGATCCATGAATGGATGGATGGATGAATCCAGGAATGGATGGATCCATGGAAGGAAGGATGGATGGATCCATGGATGGATGGATGGATGAATCCACGGATGGATGGATCCATGGATGGATGATGGATGCACGGACAGGTGGAACCCCCAGCTGCACTCCTGGGGTGGCCTCTGCTGCTCTCATCATCCGTGGAAGGCCATAAATGACTTTCCCAAAGGCTCCCATTGGCGCTGATGAGTTTTCCTTCTCCTGCTGATGGATGGGGAGGATCAGAGCAGCCGCGGCCTCCTCCGGGTTTTTAGAGGGAGAATGGATTTCACACCTGCCTGAGCCTCCGCGGCAGCGGGTGAGGAATGCGGGGGCTCAGGGCCACGAACGAGGGGCGAGCGTTAAACTTTTTGTTGTCTCTGGCATTTTAATGACTCTTCCTTTCCCTGCGGGAGGTCTCCCTGCTGCTAGAGAATCTCTTTCGTGATGTTTATTCCTTTCCCAGTCCACAAACAGAGCCTGTGGCCACCCAATCCCGAGGCCGAGCCACAGGTTTTGGCCGGGATGTGAAGTTTTCAGAGCGGGGATAAGGCTGTAGGATTTATTTTCATGTAATAAATTCATTAATACAAATTCCTCAGGTTGCAAGCAGTCCGAGCTGTGACCGAGCACCAAGCCGGGCTCCGAGCAGGTTTCCCTGACGCGGAGCCAAATTCCTGGCTGGATTTCAGGTTGGTTTTAGTGGACACGCACTGGGGCCGCGGGACAAGCCCGGTTTGGGATTTCCAGGGGAATTTCGGTGGATTTCCCCAGCGGAGAAAGCCGCGGGTGCTGCCACAAAGGAGGATCCTTATCAGCGGATTCCAGCGGGCTGCGCTCCGCGTCCCTTGGCATTTCCATGAAAATGGGAAAGGCTTCCTGAGCCGCTCTGGAACAAACATCCCCAGCCTCCCTCCCGGCCGCAGCACGGAATCCTTGGGAGGAATTTATCCGCTGGAAACAGAAACTCCGCGGGGCTGCACGGCGGGGGAAACCTCGGGAAAAGCATCCCGAGAAATCCACCGGGACCCCAAACACGGGGCTGGAGCTCGGTGCGGGCTCCAGCGCTTTCGGGGAGGGAGGGCTGAGCCGGGAGAGATCCCGTTAAAAACGGGACCACACTCCCGGTAATAAAGTGATTTCAGCGTTTATTATAACAAAAAAGAAAGGCCTAAAGCAAGGGATACTAAAAGTGATTTCAGTATTTATTATAATAAAAGAAAGGCCCAAAGCCAGGGGTACTAAAGGTGATTTTGGCATTTATCATAATAAAACAAAGGCCTGAAGCCAGGGGTACTAAAGGTGATTTCAGCAGCGACAGCGACAGCGACAGCGACAGCGACAGCGACAGCGACAGCGACAGCGACAGCGACAGCGACAGCGACAGCGACAGCGACAGCGACAGCGACAGCGACAGCGGCACTTTCCCCTGCGGCCGGTGCAATCCCTTTGCTGAGCGCAGCCAGGGAGGTCTGAGCTTCCCCTGCCCGGCTCTGCCGCAGTCCCCGGGCCGTGCCCGGACAGGATCCTGTTTGCTTTGCCGCTGAAATTGCGGCAGTTCGGTTCAGCTCAGCTCCTCCCCGCCGTGTTTATCTTCCCCGTGGCCCTTGGAAACGGCTCCTGTTGCCGCTCTGTAAATAATTCATTGCCACAATTCATTAGCGCCGTTCATTATCGCCGTTCTTTATCACAGTCCATTATCACAATTCATTATCGCAATTGCTGCGGCCCGGGATCGTCTTCGGATGTCCCGGGCTGATTTTAAAACGAGCAGAGAGATTTGTCCCTGGTTTGCTGAGCTCGGGGAGAGGTTGGAGGAGGGAAGGAGCAGCCCGGAGCTGCTCATCCCTGTGAGGAACCCCGGTGCCACGCGGCCAGCGGCCATAAAAATCAGTGACAGTGGCAGGGGAGGGGACCTGTGTGTCTTCGTTGCACCAAAATGACATTTAATGTGTGTGGGACCGCACTGGGACAAGTGACAGCCACGGAGAGTGGCCCAATGGCACCAAAATCACATTTAATGTGTGTGGGGCTGTGCTGGAGCTGGGCACAGCCACAGAGAGTGGCCCAATGGCCCCAAAATGACATTTAATGTGTGTGGGACTGGTGCCAGCCATGGAGAGTGGCCCAATGGCACCAAAATCACATTTAATGTGTGTGGGGCTGTGCTGGAGCTGGGCACAGCCACAGAGAGTGGCCCAATGGCCCCAAAATGACATTTAATGTGTGTGGGACTGGTGCCAGCCATGGAGAGTGGCCCAATGGCACCAAAATCACATTTAATGTGTGTGGGGCTGTGCTGGAGCTGGGCACAGCCACAGAGAGTGGCCCAATGGCCCCAAAATGACATTTAATGTGTGTGGGACTGGTGCCAGCCATGGAGAGTGGCCCAATGGCACCAAAATCACATTTAATGTGTGTGGGGCTGTGCTGGAGCTGGGCACAGCCACAGAGAGTGGCCCAATGGCCCCAAAATGACATTTAATGTGTGTGGGACTGGTGCCAGCCATGGAGAGTGGCCCAATGGCACCAAAATCACATTTAATGTGTGTGGGGCTGTGCTGGAGCTGGGCACAGCCACAGAGAGTGGCCCAATGGCCCCAAAATGACATTTAATGTGTGTGGGACTGGTGCCAGCCATGGAGAGTGGCCCAATGGCACCAAAATCACATTTAATGTGTGTGGGGCTGTGCTGGAGCTGGGCACAGCCACAGAGAGTGGCCCAATGGCCCCAAAATGACATTTAATGTGTGTGGGACTGGTGCCAGCCATGGAGAGTGGCCCAATGGCACCAAAATCACATTTAATGTGTGTGGGGCTGTGCTGGAGCTGGGCACAGCCACAGAGAGTGGCCCAATGGCCCCAAAATGACATTTAATGTGTGTGGGACAGCACTGGGACAGGTGACAGCCGTGGAGAGTGGCCCAATGACATCAAAATCACATTTAATGTGTGTGGGACAGGTGACAGCCATGGAGAGTGGCCCAGTGGTACCAAAATGACATTTAATGTGTGTGGGACAGCCCTGGGACAGGTGACAGCCATGAGGAGAGGTTTGGTGCAAGGCTGTGCCCACGACTTGTGGTTCCACCTTCCCCGAGGGACATCCGTCCTCGAAAGGTCACTCCACAACCTCACCCCGGTGACAAAACCAGCCAGGGGACAGTGCCACCCGCCTGGGTCTGCACTGACAGCGAGACACAGCCCCGAGGTGCTGCGAGCTCCGTCCTGTGTCACCTCTGTGTCACCTCTGTGTCACCCCCGCAGAGAGGAGCCGGCGCTGGGTTTGAATCATCCCTGGCAGGCGTTTGGGACCCCCTGCTCTGCCCGAGAGCGCCGGGAGCGGTGGGAAAATCCAGGTCTGGGTGAGTAATCCCGCAGTTATCTCCCTCTGCCATCGATCCAGGGTGTCCTCACACAGGCCAGAGCCTTTGTTTCGGCTGTTCTGGGAAATAATTGCATTCTTTTAATATCTCCAAAGAAAGATTTACCGCGGGGAGACCACACGGGGAGAAGGTGTTGCTGAGGGAGCCGGGAGAACTTTCCGTTTTCCCCCCGGCTCCGGGCCTGGAGAACTTTCTGGTTCCTCCCTCCCAGGCTGCGTGTCCAGGAGGGCAAAGGGTGGCTCTGTGGGAGTGTGGACAGGCTGCACTCGCCCGGGCCTCTCCTCTCCTTAATTTTGCCCTAAATGCCACTTTTCCCTTGGGTTTGGTGCAGTTTTCCCCAGGAGTTTGGTGCATTTTCCCCCTGTTATTTGATGCAGTGTTTCCCTGGGTTTGGTGCCATTTTTTCCTGGGTTTGGGTGTAGTTTTTCTCTGGGTTTTGGTGCAGTTTTCCCCTAGGTTTGGTGCAGTTTTTCCCCTGGGTTTAGGTGCAATTTTCCCCTGGGATTTGGTGCAGTTTTTCCCTGGAATTGGGTGCAGTTTTTCCCTGGGATTGGGTGCAGTTTTCCCCTAGGTTTGGTGCAATTTTTCCCTGGGTTTAGGTGCAGCTTTTCCCTGGGATTTGGTGCAGTTTCCCCCCGGGTTTTGGTGCATTGAGACTCCTCACAGCAAATCCCATCTGGCTGTGCGTGTCCCTCTGCCCCCAGCGGAACATCCACATGCTTTGCTCCACATGACGGAATCATGGAATGGTTTGGGCTGGAAGGAACCTTAAACATCACCCCTGCCATGTCAGGGACACCTCCCACTGTCCCAGGCTGCTCCAAGCCCCGTCCAGCCTGGCCTTGGGCACTTCCAGGGATCCAGGGGCAGCCCCAGCTGCTCTGGGCACCCTGTGCCAGGTTCTGCCCACCCTCCCAGGAGGAATTCCATCCCAATATCCCATCTAACCCTGCCCTCAGTCACTGTGAAGCCATTCCCCCTTATCCTGGCACTCCAGGCTCACCTCCAAAGCCCCTCTGACCCTCCCAGCGCTCCGGGCCTGCCCCTCTTCCCAACCTTTGGGTGAAATCCCTCCCTGCACCATCCCCTGGGAAATCCCCATCTCCCCCCAGCCTGGGCCCCCTTTGTCCCCTGGATCCCTTCTGCCCCCGCTCTCCACACCCCCTCCCTCACCCCAATTTTTTTGGGGTGCTCCCTGGCTCTCCGCCTCCCCTCCCCGTGCGTTCCCCGCTCCCAGCGCTGCCCGTGGGGTCTCCCCGCTCCCGGCCCCCCCGTCCCTGTCCCGGCCCCGGGCGGGGCGGCCCCGGCAGCCGCCAATGGGCGCGGGGAGGCGCGGCCGCCGGGGCCGCCGCATTTATCGGCCGGGCCGGGCCGGGAGGCGGCGGAGCCGGAGCCGGGATCGGGATGGAGCGGGCGGCAGCGCCCGGGACCGGCTCCGCTTCGGCGCTGGCCGCCTCGCTGGCCGAGGGGCTGATCAAATCGCCGCGGCCGCTGATGAAGAAGCAGGCGGTGAAGCGGCACCACCACAAGCACAACCTCAAGCACCGCTACGAGTTCCTGGAAACGCTGGGCAAAGGCACCTACGGGAAGGTGAAGAAAGCCCGGGAGCGCTCCGGGAAGCTGGTAAGGATCCCCCTGGGGGGGGAGCATGGTCACCGTGCGGGGTCCCCGAGCTTCCCATGTCCCTAAGCATCCTCTGTCCCCGACGCATCCTCGGCGTTCCCGGTGCATCCCCCCGGTGAATCCCCCCGGTTCGGTGTGTCCCTCCCTGTCCCCGGTGAATCCCCCCGGTGCGGTGTGTCCCTGCATTCCCCCGGTGAATCTCCCCGGTTCGGTGTGTCCCCCCATTCCCCCGGTGCATCCCCCGGTTCGGTGTGTCCCTCCCTGTCTCCCGGTGCATCCCCCGGTTCTGTGTGTCCCTCCATGTTCCCGGTATATCTCCCCGGTCCGGTGTGTCCCTCTCTGTCCCCTCTGCACCCCCGCAGTGTTTCCCGGTGGTCCCCGAGCTGCCCCCGCTTCCCGCAGCCCGGCCCCGCTGCCTCCCCCTCCTCCGGTTCTCTCCCCTCCAATCCGTTCCCGGCGCATCCTCAGGGACCCCCGAGCATCCCCCGCTCCGAGCATTTCGTCCCCGGTGTCGCCGGTCCCGGCTCCCCGCAGCCCCGGCCGGGCCCCGCTCCCCCCGCAGCTGCGGTTCTGCCTTGGTCCTGCTGCGGGGGGGTCTCAGCGGGGCCGGGGGCAGCCCCGAGGGGTCTCGCCCCCCTCCTCCCGGGGGTCTGCAGCTCCTCTCGCCCACTTGACCGCGGTCGCGCTTCCTGGGGGCAGGAGCGGGCAGGGACGCGGCCGCCAAAGCAAACACCGCACTCGAGGCTGAAGGGTTTTTCCCTTCCTCTCACCCTGGGTTTGCCTTTCTCACGGTGTGGGGCACCCAGGGAGCAGCCGAGCTCTCCAAAATCCTGACTCACCCCAGCCCGCTGGGGGAAAGTGGCTGTGGCTCACCCAGCTCAGCTTTCCTCTGGAAAAAGGGGATCGAACCCCCGGGAACGCCGGGCGCTGCTCTGTCCTGCGGGAATCTGCAAGGATTCAACCTTGGACGTGAATTCCCAGCCTCGAAGGGTGCGAGGGACCCCAAAAACCCCTCACAGCCCGGCCTGAGCAGGGGGGGTGAGCTGCGAGTGGCAGGACTGGCCCTGCCAGGGGCTGGGATGGGCTCAGCGACATCCCACGGGAAAAAGCCGCGAATCCGCCGGCTTTCCTTGTGGCATCTTGATGAGATCAGATCCGAAGGCGGCTCTGCCCATCCGAGCCGCTGCTCTGCTGCATAATCAGGGCCTGGAAACGCAGCTTCCACCCACAGAGCTGCGAGGATCCCTCCCCTCGGCATGGGCGAGCAAATTCTCCTTTCCCTGCCCGCACCTGCAGCTCGGAAATCTCCGAATTAGGAAAGTCAGAATCTCAGCTATCCCCCGCGAGCCCCTCAGGATCGCTGTGTTTTCATGCAAATCCAACCCACGGGCCGCGGAGCCCTCAATCCAGCGGCAGGAAAGCCAAGGCTCTGCTCAGCAGCCCCTCCCCGGCCTGCCGGAGCAGCAGGAGGCTCCGAGCCACAAATCTCTCCTCTCCCCACAAATTCCTTCTCGGAGCACTCAGCATTTCCGGGCCGGCTTCATCTGCAGCTTTAGCCCCGGCTCGGTTGTTCGCTGCTTCCCCGAGTGGTTTTCACTTCCCAAAGTGTGAGGGCAGGGGCCGGGCACCCTCGCGGGGATCTCACGGCACCGGCTGGGGCTGAAAAGCTGGAGCTGCTCCATCCACGGGGAATTTTTGCCTCTGGCGAATCGGGAATTGCCTCTGACAGGGGCGCTGGGTGTTGAACCAGCTCGTTTTACCGCCCGCGTTTCTCGTTCCTCTCTGAATTTTAAAATCCCTGCACTCCGAACAGGCTGATTTGCTTGGAAGGTGGCAGGAAATTCCAGGCTCCTGCAGCTGGAGGATGTTTTGGGACTTCCATGAATTATTTGTCTGGGAAAAATCCCTTTTATTTTCCTGTTAGAAATCCTTTATCTGAAGCGATGCTCCTGCTGCTGAGTGCCTTTCCCAATCCTTACAAAAATCCCTGCAAAATCAGGTGGGGAGGGAATTGCTGGTTGGTTTTCCTCCCCCTTCCCCCCCTCTTCTCTTTCTTTTTTCCCTTCCCTTTTCCCTTTTATTTTTCTCCCCCTTTTTTCCTTTCTTTTTTCCTCCTTTCCCTTTTTTTTTTGCTGCTTTCCCTTTTTTTTTTCTGTTTTCCCTTTTCTCGTTTCCCTTTTTCTTTCTCGTTTCCCTTTTTCTTTCCCGTTTTTATTCTTTCCCCTTTCTCTTCCTTCCCTTTTATTTTTCTTCCTCCTTTTTTTTTCCCCTTCCATTTTTACTTTCCTCCCTTTTTTCCCCCCCACCTGTTTGCAGCGCAGCCTCCGGGCTCATTTTCCCTCCCATCCAGGAGTTTTTCCCAGCCTGCCTCCCCATCCCTGGCCTGCAGCCAAGCCAAACACACCCGGGGACCTCCCGTGGGACTCTCCTGGTGTCACAAACGCCACTTGGGGCCCGTGTGGTGCCAGGAGAAGGCAGCACCTGGAATATTCCAGAGCCTCCTTTGATCTGCGGGAAGGGGCGAATCCCGCTCTGTTCCGGGCTGGATTTAAATCCGAATTTCACCAAACTGCCCTTGCAGTCTGGAACAACTTCTGAAGCGCTGCCTGGGGTTGTAACTTCATGCATCTTTCAGCAGCTGCTGAAAATACCTGTTCAGCCCCCAAAAACTTGGAATTCAAAGCCTTTTTTGGACTTGGAAAGCGCTGGGAGCTCCGGGGGGATTCCTCGCTGTTTCCCGGGGGGCTGCGGCACTGCCTGTCCCCGAGGCTGCTGTCCCCAGCTCCAGGGTGGCATTTCCCACCTCCAGGGGACACCCTGTGCTCCCATCCCCCTTGGGCAGGGAAAGTTTGGGAACAAAGCCCTGCTTGGCACCCCTGGGGGAGGACGGGACGGCTCCATCTGCCTGGAGGTCACTAATTTTGGGATGGGGCATCTCCTGGAGCTGCTCCATCTTTTTGTGGATTGTGGCTCCTGCCCTGAGCCCTGGCTCAGAATTTTGGGGATGTGAGCCGCTGAGGCAGCAAGGAAATGTTCGGAAATGCTCGGAAATGCTCCAAAATGGTCGGAAATGCTCCAAAATGCTCCGAAATTTTGGCTGCTGGGCCGGGTGCCAGGCTTTGCAGGAGGCAGCAGGAATTCGGGAGGCTGGCTGGCTGCAGGAAGGCTCTGCAAGGGTCAGGGAACTGGGGCAGCAGCGAAAATATTGTTAAAATTTAACCTGTTAAACAAAGGTCAGGGGAAAGGAAACCTGGCTGCGCTTCCCAGAAGCGTTGAACAATTTCAGTATTGCCTGAGCAAGAAACTTGGGCCGGGGTTATTGAACTTCTCCTGGCCAGAGTCCGCTGGCTCCACATGTGCTGAATCCTCCAGGAGCAATTCCTGCCCGGGCTGGTGCTGCCTGAGGCGGATTGGGGCCAGAAAAATGGGGTTTGGGGCTACAGAAATGGGGTTTGGGGTGAGAAAAATGGGATTTGGGGTTACAGAAATGGGATTTAGGGTTACAGAAATGGGGTTTGGGGTCAGGAAAATGGGATTTGGGGGCATAAAAATGGGGTTTGGGGCTACAGAAATGGGGTTTGGGGGCAGAAAAATGGGGTTTGGGACTACAGAAATGGGGTTTGGGGTGAGAAAAATGGGATTTGGGGTTACAGAAATGGGATTTAGGGTTACAGAAATGGGGTTTGGGGTCAGGAAAATGGGATTTGGGGGCATAAAAATGGGGTTTGGGGCTACAGAAATGGGGTTTGGGGGCAGAAAAATGGGGTTTGGTGCAAAAAAAAAAGGGATTTGTGGCCACAAAAATGGGATTTGGGGTTACAGGAATGGGATTTATGGCCACAAAAAATGGGATTTGGGGCTACAGGAATGAGACTTGGGGCCAAAAAGGGATTTCAGGTGCCCACCTGAGCCCCTTTCAGAGGCTTCTCCCTGCTGGAACTTCGCTGGTTCAGCGCCTGCCGCGGGTGCTACAGGCCTGGCTTAGCAAAACTCAGCTGCCCGCTGGGCCGGGCTTTGGGGAGCGAGGTCTCCAAAGCCCCAAAATCGCAAGGACAGGGGGCTGAGCATCCCTCCCGCACCTCGGGGGCAGCTGGGGCCGGCGGGGCTCCGCGGCCCCTCTCCCCGTTGCTGGGAGACCGGTGCGAGGGTCCCTGGACGGGATTAAAACTGTTCCGCATTCTTGTCTGCGAGGGGAAAAAAGAAAAAAAAGAAAAAAAGAAAAAAAAATATAAAAGGTTGTGCTGGATTCAGTTGTAAATTCAGCCCTGGGAGCGCATTGTGTGCCCGCAGCCCCTTTGAAAGGGGATTAGGAGGCGGCTGTTCTTACTGCTCTGCTCTTACTCCTCCTGCTCCTCCCTTTTCAATCTCCTCGCAGAGGAAAACTTGAAAACGCAAAGGAAAGCCTGGAAAACTCCGGGTCTCCCACCCCGTTCCGAGGATCTGCTTTTTCACCCGAACTTTCTCTTACTCCTAGCAATGAAGTGGTTTAGAGGGAAACAGAAGGCGAGGTGTGGGGTTTTATTCCCTTTTCCTGACGTCAGGAATTGGCTGTTGTTGTTGTTGTTGTGGTTGTGGTTATCTTGGTTATTTCCCGAGTCCTTCGTGCTGGGCACATTCCTGCGGCAGGACACGATCCCTGCCGAGCCCAAAAATCGGGAGCGGGGCTGGGCTACCTGCGGGAGGAGGCTCATGGAGCCCCAAAAATCAGGGCAGGGCTATGTGGGAGGACGCTCAGGGAGCCCCAAAATCAGGGCAGGGCAACCTGCAGGAGGAGTCCTGGGGAGCCAGGACTCCAAAAATCAGGAGGAGGTGTGCCTGATGGAGGAGGTTCAGGGAGCCCCAAAAATGAGGAGCAGGGCTGTGCTACCTGTGGGAGGAGGCTCAGGGAACCCTAAAAATCCAGGCTGGGCTACCTGGGAGGAGGCTCAGGGAGCCCCCAAAATCAGGGCTGTGCTGCCTGATGGAGGAATCTTGGGGAGCCCTAAACATCCAGGCTGGGCTATCTGGGAGGAGGCTCAGGGAACCCCAAAAATGAGGAGCAGGTCTGCCTGATGGAGAAGTTCTGGGGAACCCTAAAAATCAGGGCTGGCTACCTGGGAGGAGGCTCAGGGAACCCCAAAAATGAGGAGCAGGTCTGCCTGATGGAGAAGTTCTGGGGAACCCTAAAAATCAGGGCTGGCTACCTGGGAAGAGGCTCAGGAAGCCCCAAAAGTCAGGAGCAGTTGTGCCTGATGGAGGAGGCTCAGGGGGACCCCAAAATCTGGGCTGTGCTGCCTGATGGAGGAATCTTGGGGGCCTCTAAAAATCAGGGCTGGCTACCCAGGAGGAGGCTCAGGAAGCCCCAAAAATCAGGGCTGTGCTACCTGATGGAGGAGTCCTGGGGAGCCCCAAAAATCCGGGCTGGGCTGCCTGGGAGGAGGCTCAGGGAACCCCAAAAATGAGGAGCAGGTCTGCCTGATGGAGAAGTTCTGGGGACCCCTAAAAATCAGGGCTGGCTACCTGGGAGGAGGCTCAGGAAGACCCAAAAATCAAGAGCAGGGCTACCTGAGGGAGGAGTCCTGGGGAGCCCCAAAAATCCGGGCTGGGCTGCCTGGGAGGAGGGTCAGGGAGCCCCAAAAATCTGGGCTGGACTACCTGCTGGAGGAGCCTCGTGCCCCCCAGAAATGAGGAGCTGTCAGGGTGTCCCTCTGGGGCAGCTTCTCCCTCACGTGCAGCAGCAGGACTTGGTGAGAATAAACCCCAAATGGATGAAATTTGCTTTTCTGGGAGCTGTTTCCATGGAGCTGCCCTGCTCAGCTCGTGGGGATGTTTTGGGGTTTTTTTTGTGAAAACAACAAACAGGGGAGGGAGGAATTCCTTCCCTCGGGAGCTCACAGCCCCCTCTGTGCTCCCCCACAGGTGGCCATCAAATCCATCCGCAAGGACAAAATCAAGGATGAGCAGGACCTTGTCCACATCCGGAGGGAGATTGAGATCATGTCCTCCCTCAACCACCCCCACATCATCGCTGTGCACGAAGGTGAGGCCTCCTCTCCCTTCCCTTTTCCAGCTGCATCCAGGATGGGAGCCTCTGGAATGTCCTGGGTACCCCGGGGGGCTCTTGGGCTGGGCTTGGCCCGGTTTGGCTCGGCCTGGGTGGGTTTAGCCCAGCTGGGTGGGTTTATCCCAGCCCTCTCCTCCCTTCCAGGACCTGGCTCCCGTTCCTGGCCACTCCCAGGGAATGCAGACGCTCCCGGGCTGCGTTTCTGTGTTTTCCCCGACGAGGGGAAATACCTGCTCCAGAAATCGCCCTTCCTGTCGCGTCCCCTCCCTCCCAGACAGGGAATCCAGCTCCAAATGTGGATTTTGGACACTCAGGCCCTGCTCCCTGCTCAGCCTCCCTCCACAGCCCCACGGCGGTTTCCAAAATTCACATTTGGGATGTGGGGCTGTGGAGGGAGGCTGAGCAGGGAGCAGGGCCTGAGTGTCCAAAATCCACATCTAGCCCCTGCTGCCTGCTCAGCCTCCCTCCACAGCCCCAATTTGTGGATTTTGGAAGCCCCGGGGCTGTGGAGGAGAGGCTGAGCAGGGGCTGAGTGTGGCTGTGCCCGGAGAATTTGGCATCTCCGTGGATCTGCTCTGAGCCCGAGGTAGGGCTTAATTTAATCTCAGTCCTGGAGTCCTCCTCATTCCCTCCCCCGGGGCACTGGAAAAGCAAACCACGGCGTGCTGGGAGAGTTCCTGGTGCTGCCGGGCTTGGCTTTATGGCCAGGGCTGGGCTTTGTTGGGATAACCCAAGGGAATTGCTCCAGGTCGGAGCAGAACCGGACCGAGCCTAAACCCGCAGCTGGGTCAGGCTTAGCAGACACCGAGTCCCTGGGCTGTGCCCTTCCTGGGGCTGGCCCTGCCCCTGCTGCCGGCGCTGCCGAGGGATCCGGAGCCCTTTTGTGCTCCAAACAAAGGGAGCGGGCTGGCAGCTGCTCCGCGGTGTTTGCGAGGGCTGACTCACCGCGGCGGCCGGAACGCAAACCCGCCGAGCGCTGCCAGCGGGAGGGAACGGCTGCGCCCCTGGCCGCAGGCACAGCCTTGTCTGCGAGCCACGGGGACGGGCGGCAAGGTCACCGGCTGTGCCGGCGCTGTCACCTTCCCCTTGGCGGGGGTTCCAGCAGAGAGCCGAGTGCCTCAGGCACCGCTGGTGGCAGAGCCTCGGTGGTGGCACAGCCAGTGGTGCCAGAGCTGCTGTGGTGGCACAGCCAGTGATGCCAGAGCTGCTGTGGTGGCACAGCCAGTGGTGCCAGAGCTGCTGTGGTGGCAGAGCCTCGGTGGTGGCACAGCCTGTGGTGCCAGAGCTGCTGTGGTGGCACAGCCTCGGTGGTGGCACAGCCTCGGTGGTGGCACAGCCTCGATGGTGGCACAGCCAGTGGTGGCAGAGCCTTTGTGGTGCCAGAGCTGCTGTGGTGGCAGAGCCTCAGTGGTGGCACAGCCAGTGGTGGCACAGCCTCAGTGGTGGCACAGCCTTGGCAGTGGCACAACCAGTGGTGGCAGAGCCTTTGTGGTGCCAGAGCTGTTGTGGTGGCACAGCCTCCGTGGTGGCACAGCCAGTGGTGGCAGAGCCTCAGTGGTGGCACAGCCTTGGCAGTGGCACAACCAGTGGTGGCAGAGCCTTTCTGGTGCCAGAGCCACTGGTGGCAGAGCCTCAGCGGTGGCAGAGCCTCAGCGGTGGCACAGAACTTCAGTGGTGGTGGAGCTGCTGGTGGCAGAGCCTCAGTGGTGGCAGAGCTGCTGTGGTGGCACAGCCTCGGTGGTGGCACAGCCAGTGTGGCAGAGCCTTTGTGGTGCCAAAGCCAGTGGTGACACAGAACTTGTGTGGTGGCACAGAACCTCAATGGTTACACAGCCTCGGTGGTGGTGGAGTTGCTGGTGGCACTGCCTCAGTGGTGGCACATCTGGTGGTGGCACTGCCTCAGTGGTGGCACATCTGGTGGTGGCACTGCCTCGGTGGTGGCACAGCTGGTGGTGGCACTGCCTCGGTGGTGGCACAGCTGGTGGTGGCACTGCCTCGGTGGTGGCACAGCTGGTGGTGGCACTGCCTCGGTGGTGGCACAGCTGGTGGTGGCACTGCCTCGGTGGTGGCACCGCTGCTGGGCCAGTAGCTCTGGTGTCCCCGGGGGCCGTGGGTGACAGCTCTGGTGGCCCCCCTGACCTGCAGGTCCCTGTTTATCCAAGACTGAGGGCAGGATTTGGGTTAGGGTCAATCAAGGCTCCACCTGCTCATTAACAGGAATGTCCTAACGAATATTCCCAAGGTTCCGAGGATCCCTTTTGGACACAGCCTTGGTGGTGGTGGAGTTGCTGGTGGCACAGCCTTGGTGGTGGCACTGCCTCGGTGGTAGCACATCTGGTGGTGGCACTGCCTCGGTGGTGGCACAGCTGGTGGTAGCACTGCCTCGGTGGTGGCTCCGCTGCTGGGCCAGTAGCTCTGGTGGCCCTGGGGGCCGTGGGTGACAGCTCTGGTGGCCCCCCTGACCTGCAGGTCCCTGTTTATCCAAGACTGAGGGCAGGGATTGGGGTTAGGGTCAATCAAGGCTCCACTTGCTCATTAACAGGAATGTCCTAACGAATATTCCCGAGGTTCCGAGGATCTCTTTTGTCGCTGCTGGGCCAGTAGCTCTGGTGTCCCCGGGGGCCGTGGGTGACAGCTCTGGTGGCCCCCCTGACCTGCAGGTCCCTGTTTATCCAAGACTGAGGGCAGGGATTGGGGTTAGGGTCAATCAAGGCTCCACTTGCTCATTAACAGGAATGTCCTAACGAATATTCCCAAGGTTCCGAGGATCCCTTTTGTTACTATGATATTTTATGAAAAATCTTTTGCTAGGATTTTTCCCTCTTGGGAAGCCGAGGAGCTTCAGGACAGAAATGTAAACAATAACTCTGCTGCTGTGGACTGCAGCAGGTGCAGCTGTGATTGGTGCATGTTTTTGTTTCTAATTAATGGCCAATCACAGATGCAGCTGCATCGGACTCTGAGAGTCACAAGACTTTGTTATTGCATTCCATTCCTGTCCTTCCAGCCTCCTGATGAATCCTCTTATTTTTATTCTTTTAGTATAGTATTTAAACAATAATATATATCATAACATAATAAACCAGCCTTCTGAAACATGGAGCCAAAATTCTCGTCTCCACACACGGATCAGCAGACACAACACCCTTTTAACCCTTTCCTGCAGTGTTTGAGAACAGCGCCAAGATCGTCATCGTGATGGAATACGCCAGCAAGGGCGACCTGTACGATTACATCAGCGAGCGGCAGCGGCTCTCGGAGCAGGAGGCGCGACACTTCTTCCGCCAGGTCGTGTCCGCCGTCTACTACTGCCACAAGGTGGGTGGCACCGCCCTGCCCGGGCTTCCCGGGGGTTTCCAGGGGGGAAAAGCGGCTGGATGGGTTCTCCTCACGATGGATTCCCAGGGGAAGAGTGGGTGGATGGGCTCCTGGGTTCTCCTCATGGTGGATTCCCAGGGGAAGAGTGTCTGGATGGGCTCCTGGGTTCTCCTCACGATGGATTCCCAGGGGAAGAGTGGGTGGATGGGCTCCTGGGTTCTCCTCACGATGGATTCCTGGCTGGAGAGCAGCTGGATGGGCTCCTGAGCCCTCCTCCTGATGTTTTCCCGGGGGAATAGCAGCTGGATGGGCTCTGGAGTGCTTCTCCTGATGTTTTCCTGGCTGGATGAGCTCCTGAGCCCTCCTCTCAATGGTTGCCTGATGGATTCTGGGCTGGATGGGCTCCTGGGCCCTCCTCCTGATGGTTTCCCAATGGATTCCAGGCTGGATGGGCTTCTGAGCCTACTCCCGATGGATTCCTGGGGGAAGAGCAGCTGGATGGGCTCCTGGGTTCTCCTCACAATGGTTTCCTTCTGGAGAGCGGCTGGAGGGGCTCCTGAGCCCTCCTCTCAATGGTTTCCTGATGGATTCTGGGCTGGATGGGCTCCTGGGTTCTCCTCACGATAGCTTCCCAATGGATTCCGGGCTGGATGGGCTCCCCAGTGCTCCTCACGTTGGGGTCCCGATGGTATCTTGGTTGGATGGGCTGCTGAGCCCTCCTCCCGATGGATTCCCAGGGGAAGAGCAGCTGGATGGACTCATTGAGTTCTCCTCATGATGGTTTCCTGGTTGGAGAGCAGCTGGATGGGCTCCTGGGTGCTTCTCCTGGTGGATTCCCGGTTGGATGGGCTCCTGAGCCCTCCTCCCGATGAATTTCCAGCTGGATGGGCTCCTGAGCCCTCCTCCCAATGGATTCCTGGTGGGATGGGCTCCTGAGCCCTCCTCCCGAGGGTTTCCTGGCTGGATGGGCTCCTGAGCCCTCCTCCCGAGGGTTTCCCAGCGGAATGTGCTCCCCAGTGCTCCTCCCTGCAGCCCCACGGGAGGTGAGAGGAGCTCGTGGCTCTCCACTTGCCCGCAGAAAGGCTGATCCTGCCTTGAGTCCCAAGGGTGTGGCAGTGCCCCGGAGATTTGGGAGGTCCTGGCCTGGGCTGGGGGTGACTAACCCGGCCTGGGAGTTGTCACCTCCCCTCCCACCCGACCAGACGGAGACGCCCAGAGCTGCCCTCGGGGCTGGGAGCCAAGCCTGGGTCACCTGTCCTGTTTGTGTCACCTGTCCTGTTTGGATCCGCTGTCCTGTTCCTGACCAGAGGGTGAAGCTGCAGGACCCTCCTCAGGCTGTGGGTGATGCCCTCCCAGGACCCTCCCTGGGCTGTGGGTGAGGCCCTGCCAGGACCCTCCTCAGGCTGGGGGTGATGCCCTGCCAGGACCCTCCTCAGGCTGGGGGTGATGCCCTGCCAGGACCCTCCTCAGGCTGGGGGTGATGCCCTGCCAGGACCCTCCTCAGGCTGGGGGTGATGCCCTGCCAGGACCCTCCTCAGGCTGGGGGTGATGCCCTGCCAGGACCCTCCTCAGGCTGGGGGTGATGCCCTGCCAGGACCCTCCCTGGGCTGTGGGTGATGCCCTGCCAGGACCCTCCCTGGGCTGTGGGTGATGCCCTGCCAGGACCCTCCCTGGGCTGTGGGTGATGCCATGGCAGAACCCTCCCTGGGCTGTGGGTGATGCCATGGCAGGACCCTCCTCAGGCTGTGAGTGATGCCCTGGCAGAACCCTCCTCAGGCTGTGGGTGATGCCCTGCCAGGACCCTCCCTGGGCTGTGAGTGGTGCCCTGGCAGGACCCTCCAGCCCGAGGGTCTCCCTGGAGGTCGCTCCAAGGCTGTACCCCAGCCCTCGGTGGGAACAGGGGGTGTCAGGGCAGCTCCTGACCCCAAACCGGATTGTGGGCTCGCTCCTCTGGGCACAGCAGGCCCTGCCCAAGCAGGAGCTGTGCCCTGGTGGAGCTGGCACCGCGTGCCACCGCGGCTGGGGACAATGGAGGAGCCCAGGGTGGCACTTGGTGCAGGCACCTCCCTGCTCCTGCTGCCCAGCTGGTGCCACCCAGGCTGGGCCACCCATCCCAGGGCCACGCCCGTGCTGTTTGTGGCCCTGTGCCCTGTTTGCCGTGCCCTGCCAGGTGTGCAGGACTTTCCCTCCCTCAACCCCTCTGGGAATTAACCCCTGCTCTTCCCGCAGAATGGGATCGTGCACCGGGACCTGAAGCTGGAGAACATCCTGCTGGATGCCAACGGGAACATCAAGGTGAGGGGGCTGGGCTGTCACCCAGGGGGAGCTGCCCAGCCTGGAGGGACAGGGGTGCCCACAAGGCCTCAGTGCCCTCAGGGCACGTGCACCCCCTGGAATGCTGTGGAGAGCTGGCAGAGCCTGGCAGCCCAGCAGATCTGGTGAAGCCGTAACTGATACTGCCCCGCTGATAAGAGGGCGAAGTCTGAGCGCCCAGCTCAGCGCTGGCTGGATGAGAAGGGCTCTTTTCCTGGTTTCTGTGTGTGCCAGGCAGGAAATCCCAGCTCCCCCACGGGCACCCAGTGGCGATTTCTGCCAGGGAGGAAGGGCACGGCCTGGCCTGGGCCGGGGATGCCCGCGGTCACTGATAACGGGGTTTATCTCCACCGGGGATAATTTTGTAACTGAGAGCTCGAGGGCAGCCAGGGAACCTCCTGCTGGCTGGGAGGTGACAGCTTAATGAGGATAATGAGCACCTGGGCGAGGTGGGGCTGATAGGGACCGCTGCAGCCTGGGGTGGCTGGGAATGAGCTGGAGGAAAGCCTGGAAGTCCTTCCAGCCTCACCTTTCCACTCTGCTCCCGCTGCCAGCACCACGGGACAGCTGCTGCCGTGCCTGGGATGAAGCTTTTGGGAGGGAGAGAGCAACAGGAGAGAGCTCAGGGGTGGAGAACCAGCCTGAGGGGATTCAGAACCAAGGGCAGCCCTGGTTTGGATCAAGTTCATCCCTGGAGAGCTCCAGGAGAACTTTCAGCCTTGGGAAACTTGGGAAAGGAAATTTTGGGAAAGGAGAACTTGGGAAAGGGAACTTTGGGGAAGGGGATTTTGGGAAAAGAGAACTTGGGAAAGGGGCCTTTGGGAAAGGGAGCTTTGGGAAAGGAGAACTTGGGAAAGAGGAACTTGGAAAAGGAGACTTTGGGAAAAGAGAACTTGGGAAAGGGGCCTTTGGGAAAGGGAGCTTTGGGAAAGGAGAACTTGGGAAAGAGGAACTTGGAAAAGGAGACTTTGGGAAAAGAGAACTTGGGAAAGGGGCCTTTGGGAAAGGGAGCTTTGGGAAAGGAGAACTTGGGAAAGAGGAACTTGGAGACTTTGGGAAAAGGGAACTTGGGAAAGGGGCCTTTGGGAAAGGGGCTTTGCTGCTGGATGATAGCTGTGCTTGTCCCCCCAGATCGCAGATTTTGGGCTGTCCAACGTTTTCCAGCAGGACAAGCTGCTGCAGACCTACTGCGGCAGCCCCCTGTACGCGTCCCCCGAGATCATCAACGGGCGGCCCTACAAGGGCCCCGAGGTGGGTTGTGCCTCCCTGCGGGGCGTGGGGATGCCTCTGGGGTTTTCCCAGTGTGTTTTGGGGTAACAGAACCCCTGAGCCGGGGCACTGGGGGGTTGCTGGGTGTGCTGGGGTCCTGCCCCGCGCTCTGTCCCTTCCCGGTGGTTCTGCCATCCTGGGAGTCCCAGTGAGGCTCTGGTGGGTGGAGACCAGGACAGCCCGGTCCTGCTGTCCCCTCCAGGCTCCTCTGTCCCTTGCACAGGTGGACAGCTGGTCCCTGGGTGTCCTCCTCTACATCCTGGTGCACGGCACCATGCCCTTCGATGGCCACGACTACAAGACTCTGGTCAAGCAGATCACCAGCGGGGACTACCGGGAGCCCACAAAGCTCTCAGGTAGGGACACCCCCGTCCCCCTGTGTGTCCCCCTTCCCCGTGTCCCCTCCCGTGCCTGACCCGTCCCTCCCCCAGATGCCTGCGGGCTGATCCGGTGGATGCTGATGGTGAACCCCGAGCGCCGGGCCACCATCGAGGACATCGCCACGCACTGGTGGGTCAACTGGGGCTACAAAATGCCTCTGGGCGAGCAGGAGCTGCTGCGGGAGAGCGAATCGCCGCTGGCCACGGTGGCCGAGTGGCTGCGCCGCTCCTCCCGGCCGCTGCTGGAGAACGGCTCCAAGGTGCGCTGCTTCCTCAAGCAGCACATGCCCGGCGCGGCCCTGGAGCGGCAGCGCTCCCTCAAGAAGTCCAAGAAGGAGAACGACGTCTCCCACGCGCTGCAGGAGGTGCCCCCGGGCCCCGAGAACTCCTCCAAGTCCGTCCTCAAGCGGCCCAAGGGCATCCTGAAGAAGAGGAACTCCTGCGAGCAGAAGGTGCCCAGCCCCGGCCCCCCGCCCGGGGAGGGTGGGGAGGGTCCCCCCGCGGGGCTCTCCCGGGTCCTGCAGCCCCCCGGGACAGCGGGAGCAGCGCCCCCGGCCGCGCCCAAGAAGGGAATCCTGAAGAAGCCCTCGGCCAGGGAGTCGGGGTATTACTCGTCCCTGGAGTGCTGCGAGTCCGGGGACGTGCTGGACGCGGGGAGCCTGGACCTGGACGGGGCCGTGTTCGCCGAGCCGCCCTGCCCGGCCCCGCAGGGGCTGCCGGCCCGCCGGAAAGGAATCCTCAAACACAACGGCAAATTCTCCTCGGGCAGCGCCGAGCCCGGCAGCCCCCCCGGCAGGGGTTTCGGGGGCTTCAGCGAGGTGTCGCTGCCGCAGGGCCCCCGCGCCCGGCCCGCCAGCGCCGTCAGCGAGGACAGCATCCTGTCCACCGAGTCCTTCGACCAGCTGGAGCTGCCCGCCCGCCGCCCGCCCGGGGCTGCCATGCGGGGCTGCGTGTCCGCCGAGAGCCTCCTGCGGCTGGAGGAGGAGGAGGAGAGGGAGGAAGGGCGGCGGCTGCGCCGCTGGACTGTCACCCACTGCCGCAGCCCCTTGGCGGAGAGCAGCGCGTCGCTGGCGGGCTGTGACAGTGGCACCGAGCTCTACCGGCAGCGCGCTGTGGCCGTGGGGGTGAAGCTGAGCTGAGCCCACCTTCCTTCCCCCCGGCGCTGCCCCGGGGTGGTGCATTTTGGGGAGGGGGCTGAGCCTCCCTCCCTTCCCTCCTCCCTTCCCTCCTTTCCTCCCCGGGGCTGCCGGTGCTGCTGATCCACATCCCACGGGTTGATTTGGCAGCCTCGGGGCGGGGGATGCCCCAGGGCCAGGACATTTATGGACCAAAGCCCCCAGAGTGACCCCCGAGCTGGGGCTGGGGGGTCCCGGGGGCTCCTCGCTGCCGTCCTCCCCTCTCCAACAGGCTCATCTCATCACGGGGCTGAAAGCAAGCGGTTGGGGGGGATTTTTGTTTTCTTTGCACTGTTTTTTGGCTGCACAAGGTAACGGAGGGGGTGGGTGATATACCTCAAACAAGCTGCAGATGTAGCAGGGTGCTGGTGAGGGCTCCAAGGTGCTGCCCATGGGCTGGGCTTCGGGGGGTGCTGGGGGCACCCAGGCCACGGCTCTGCCCTCTGCTGAGTGCTGAGAAACTGGATGTGGCCAAAAGCCCAGGCTGGGAAATGCTGTGATGCCAACATCTCTCATTGTAATGTGGAAAAAAAAAGAAAAAAAAAAAAGTGCCTTTGGTGAGGCACCGTGACTTTATTTATTGATTTATTGCCTTTGTCCAGGCTGGTGTGGAGGGCAGCAGCACGGGATGTGTCTGGCTCCACAGAGGCCGTCCAGGGGTGTTTCTGGGGAGGTGGCTGTGTCCTTGTGTCACACGGCTCCCTTGCACTGTTGCCACGTGTGCTCGCTGGCCCTTTCCCCTCTCGGGGGCAGGTGTTGAGTTTTCCCTCCTTCCTACAGCACGGGCTGGAGAAAAACATTAAATTAAAGCAAATGGTAAAGCTGAGTTGTCGCTTTGATTGCTGGGGGTGAGGGAGGGGCTGCTGTCCCTGTGTCCCTGTCGCTGTGTCCCTGTCCCTGTGTCCCTGTCCCTTTCCGGCTGGGATGGGGCCGTGCTCCAGCCCAGGTGGGGGTGGGTGGGCTCAGACACGTCCTGCAGGTTGGAACGCCTCTGTGTGCTCAGCCCCTCCTCAAACTGGGTTTAACTGGTGCTGAACTGGGGCTGGACACATCGCTGATGGGGGGGCTCAGCACCCCCGCGAGTGGGAAATGTGGATTTTAAGGCTGAGCAGCTGTTGGGCAAACTGCCCAAAATTTAGGGGAAGTTGTGATGAGGAGCCCCCTCTCCCCTCCCCATTGTGGGCAGCCCCCTGCTCCCAAACCCCTCTCACACCCCTGATGTGGGGATGGGAAATCCGGGTTTTAAGGCTGAGCAGCTGCAAAATTTAGGGAAAGCTGTGATGGAAGCAGGACAGTGAGGGATCAGGATCAGGATCCCTTCTCCCCTCCCCACTGTGGGCATCCCCCTGGCCCAGCCCTGCTCCCAAACCCCTCTCACACCCCTGAACCTCCGTGGGTTTCAATTTTGGGGGACATCCCCGGGTTTTGGTGGCAGGAGCTGCCTCTCCACCCTTTCCCTTCTCCCGCTGCACACAGAAATCCATTCCCCTGCCCCGTGACCGCTCCCCGTTCCCAGCCGGGTTAACCGGAGCCGTTCCGCGGCTCCTCCCTCCCGCCAGCAGCGGGGACAGGGTGGCAGGGCTATGCCCGGAATGCCACCCTTTGTCCCAGCAGGGGTGGCAGGGGGGGGTCACCGCGCTCGGCCCCCCGCCGCGCATTCCCCGCGTGCTTCCCGAGCCTTGGAGGAATTCCGGAGCCTTAAAGGAGCTCCCAGGGCATCCGGCTGAGCTGGGCAAAGTCCCGGAGCCCTGGGGGCTGCAGGGGTGGGATGGGCTGGGATGGGATCCGTGGGATGGGATGGGATATGGGATTCATGGGTTGGGATGAGCCAGGCACAAAGCCGAGGATCCTTTTTAGGTTTGCTGTTGGAGCATCCCAGGATGTTCTGGCCCTGTTTCATCCGGGATTTTCAGGAAAACGTCCCCCGTGCTGTTTTTGGAGCCGTGGCAGCTCGGGGTGGGCAGTGCTGCATGCCAGCCTTTGGGGCTGAACTGCCAGAGGACAGGTGTGGGGACTTCCAGGCATGGCAATCCCAAAGATTTTGAATGGGAATGTTGGCGTGGGTGACGTGTCTGCTCCCGGAGCACAGGGAGCGGCTGGGTCACACCTGAGCCGAAAACCACCCCAGATCCCACTGGGACCTGGCTGGCCGAGCACTGGGGGCGTCTGGGTGGGCACCCCTGGGTGTGAGGAACACACTGCCCACCCTGCCCCGTGTCCCCGCTGGTGACACCAATCTTGTCCCTCTGTCCACCCTGCCCCGTGTCCCTGGTGGTGACACCAGAGCTTGTCCCTCTGTCCATCCTGCCCCGTGTCCCTGGTGGTGACACCAGAGCTTGTCCCTCTGTCCATCCTGCCCCGTGTCCCTGCTGGTGACACCAGAGCTTGTCCCGCTGTCGTGGCCAGCTCAGCCCAGCCCTGTGCCATCTCCCGACTGCCCACCCCACTCTGTGTCCCTGCTGGTGACACCAGAACTTGTTGTGCCCACCCTGCCCCGTGTCCCCACGGGTGCCACCAGAGCTTGTCCCGCTGTCGTGGCCAGCTCAGCCCAGCCCTGTGCCATCTCCCGGGGCTGCTCCGAGTCCCTTCCCACCTTCTCCCGGGCACAGCCGTGGGAAGGGTGGGAAAAGCCCTCGGATGAGGCGGTGACAGCGGCAGCGGAGCCCGGGGACACCGCGGTCACCGCAGAGACCGCCCCGCGCTGCCGGAATTCCCCCGCCAGCCCCTGGAAACGCTCCTTTCATCCCAGCCTTGAGTTCCGCTGCCTCCGAGCCCCCCTGGCAGCCCCCCACCATTACTGGCGGCTCTTTCATCCGTGCAGCCCTTTCATCCCGAGCTTTGGCAATTCCCGCAGCCCCCACCCCGCCCTGCCCGGCCCCGCGGGGCTTTGGGGCGGCTGGAAATGACCTCAGCCGCGTTTTGCTGAGAAAATGTCATTTTTGGGGGGTGATTTCAGCCCCAAATGCTGCGTTTGCTGCCCTACAGGGTGTGGGAGAGGGGCTGGAACCCTGGAATCCGGGAGATGAATTGTCCTGGAGGATGGAGGGGTTGTCCTGTGGGTTTATATCCACTGATCCAGGCTTTTCTGGGATAATCCCATCCTGGATCCTTCTCCTGCTGGTCCTGGGGGAAATTGGTGCTTCCCACTGCTGCATCCCGGGGTTTGGGGCTGCAGCCATGCCAAAGGACGGTGCAGGGACTTTCAGCCATGGGAATTGGGCATTCCTGAGGATTTTTCATGGGAATGCTGGGGTGGGTGATGTGTCTGAGCCTCTCTGGGTCACCCCAGGCTTGGATCCCCGGGGATCCAGGCTTGCCTCACCCGGGGGCTGCTTTGGGATCCACATCCCCCGAGCAGCGGCAGCGCCCTGAGAAAGGGGAAAAAAGGGAATTTTGGGGTCGGAGCAGCAGTGAGCTGGCTGGGGGAGCAGAGCGAGCAGCTCCAGCTCCACTCCCAGCCGCTCCCGGCGGGAGCCTTTCCCGGCAGAGCGGAGCTCTGGGCGCTCCCCTGGCCCCGGGGGCCCTGAGTCACCCCCGGCAGCGGCTCCTGCCCGGGCTTGCGCCGGGAATCCCGGATCCGCCGACCCCTTCTGTGGGATCGGGAGCGCGGCGGGAGGAGCGGGCTCGGGGGGACGCGGGGGTGACCCCAGGGACAGCCGGCGGCCAAAGCCACCTCGGGTGTCGGGAATGCAGGTGGGGATGGGGTGGGGTCCCCCTGGAGCTTCCCAGAACCGCAGGGAAGGGGATGGAGGCAGTGCTCATTAAACGGTGGCTCTTAATGACGCCCAGAGCAGCTCAGGGATGCCCCCGGAGCTCTGGAATTTGGGTGTCACCTCCCCCCTGGCCGCGGCCGAGCTCCTTCTTTAGAGCCTGGGATTGTTCCTTCCTGTCGGAATCTCCCCGGCTCGGTTTTCCCTTCCCCGGGTTTTGTGTCGGAGCCCTTCTTTGTGTGTCTGACACACCGTGGGCGCAGAGCCAGGGATATTTCTGAGACATTTTGTCAGAACTTTGAGCGCCGGAACAATTAACACAACAAAGCTGAGGTGTTTCTTTGCCTCTGATTCTTTCAAAGTGGTTTTGTTTTTTGTTTTTTGGGTTTTTTTTTTTTTTTTTTTTTTTTTTTTTTTTTTTCCTGTAGATTTTTTGTAGTTATTTTTTTAAGGTGCCTCCACAACCACCTGTTTGATTGCTGGATTTCTTTGAAGATCTAAAGAATAGAAATCCCCACATGAAAGTCTTCCCATATTCAATGGCAGCCTGGAGCAGCCCAAAAAAGGGGGAGAAAGCAGCGCCCAGAAACTCTGATCCCGTTTTTTTTGGAGCACAAGAAATGGCTGGGTCACGCCTGAGCCAAAAATGCAACCCCAGACCCCACTGGGGACCTGGCTGGCCGAGCACTGGTGGCCACTCTGAAACTCCTGTGCCCCCCTGGAGCTGTGGTGATGCTTTTTGGGGTGCTGGGTCTCTGCTGGAAGATTTCTCCCATCAGGACAGCTCTGCCCATGCCGTGCCAGAGCCTCCGGGGTGTGCAGGGATGGCACAGAGGGGATGCGGCACTGCTGGAGCAAATCTGTGTTTGTGGGACCACCAGCACATCTCCTGTCCTTCCCATCCCTTGCAGGATCCACCCCACCGTGCCTGCCATGAACTGGTGGGAGCCACAAACCATAAAATACTGGAATATCCTGAGCTGGAAGGATCCACAGGGATCATGGAGTTAACCCTGGCCACAGCCCTGGAAGGTCCCACAGGGATCATGGATTTAACTCCTGGCCACAGCCCTGGAGGGACCTTCAGGGATCATGGATTTAACTCCTGGCCACAGCCCTGGAGACTCCTGGTCACAGCCCTGGAGGGACCCTCAGGGATCACGGATTTAATTCCTGACCAAGCCCCTCATCCCGACCCCTCGGCTGCTCCCGGGACACTCCGGGATTGCAAAAGCCACCGGCTCTCATCTCATCCCTGGGGAGCAGCCCTGACAGCACGGTGACTCAGGGGCCCTGTGGGTCCCCAGGGGTTGTGACACCTCCTGTCACCACCACATCACCGCCATGGCATCACCGTGGTGGCTTCACTGCCATGGCACCTCCACAATGACATCACTGTGATGGCATCACTATGATGGCATCACTGCCATGGCAACACTGTGATGGCATCACTGCCATGGCACCTGCACGATGACATCACTGTGATGGCACCACCACAATGGCATCTCCACTATAGCATCTCCACTATGGCATCTCCGTGATGGCATTACTGCCATGGCATCTTCACCATGGCAACTCCATGACGGCATCTCCATGATGGCATCACTGCCATGGCATCTCCATGATGGCATCTCCACCATGGCACCACCACCATGGCACCACCTCCCTGGCATCTCCACGCTGCCCAGGCTGGCACCCTCTGGGCTCTGTGTGCAGGGAAACCCACGGGGACCCCAACACCGCTGCCCTCCCAGCTGGGGCTGCCCAGGGTGGGCACGGGGCTGTTGCCAGCCTGCCCGGGGGGGCAGGAGGTTCCAGAACCTTCTGCCCAGAGCCGCTGCTGCCTCATCGGGCACCTCCACGGCCGTGGCAGCGCTCGTGCCGCGTCTCACACGGGAAGGGAACGTGGCACCACGGCAGCTGCAGGCCAGGGCGACTTTCCCAGCGGATCTGCCTGCCTGGGAACGCAGAGCAGCAGCCAGACGGGTTTCTGCAAAGGGCTGGGCTGATGGATCCCGAATTTGGGATGCTGGTGCCCAGCCAAGCCCGCCTGGCAGTCCTGACCATACCGTGAGGCATCCCCAGGCACCCGAGCGCCCGCGGGACCCCGG